CAGAATAACAAAATTCATCGTTGCCATTAATGCTCTCACATAAGGACTATCTTTTGAGGGTTTTCTTTTAAATAGATAAGGTGGGTATTCCTGGAGGTGGCATTAATGTTGAAGTGAATTGATTCTAATACTCAGATATACAGTGAGTCTATTCTCACACTAATCTTAAAAATGCTTTTACACTTTGTAAGTCATAGCAAAATGAGAGTAAGGTGCAGCCTGGACACAGGAATATATACGTATAATTACAAATGGATATTCAGAACTGCACAGGATAATCAGTGATGTTACTTTGTAATGACTGCTGAACACTTTAAAATAAAACACCATGCTCATTCCTCTACTCTCAGGAGTATCGACTGCCTTCATTCCCTCATCACTGTAGAGCAAACATACCACATTTTCTGAATGCAATAGAAAATTAAAATAGTGGTATTAGTGGAACTTGTCTGATAATTTCATTACCCTTTTTTCTTTCCTAGAAAACTGGAAATCAGTTTCTTTCAGTATGGACAAATACTCAGCCTTGGGCCTCAGAGTTGCTGTCTAACACATTAACGCTGTAATGACATTATGTCACTCAGTACCTTTAGCTTTGCAGGCATGAGAAAAAAGGCCCAAGTTTAGTGGACATGATACAGCAAGCAAACGTAAGCAGAAAACTTTCTAATATGCTAAAGAGGTCAACCAATATGTTTTGTGTCAAAGAGCTGAAAGGTAAAAAACAACCTCAAACTTTCAGCCAACAGCTGAAGCTGTGGAGATGTCAGCTTCATCCATAACGGATTACAAAAAACAACAGATGCTTTCTTAAGCACAAGGCTATGGGATACTGGTAGGGTTCCACAGCAGAAGAATGCAAGAAAAGTTTTGGGGGCATGTACACCACAACTTGGCAGAGGAAGCAAATCTTGCTTTAGAACTACCCTCTGGGTTTTATAAAACTTAAAAATTTGAACTCTGGCCTGGATAGACTCTTCATATACTTTAATTCCTCTTCATGCACAGAGCTGGAATAATAATTTCACATTCCTTTCTTTCAGGTGAAGTAAGAAAAGATAAAACTTACCTGCCAGGCTCCTGGAGAGTTTCAGCTTGGTCCCCTTTTCTCTGTGATAAGGGCTCAGTAGACCAGTAAGTAAAGGCACAAGTTGTCACTTATACCTCCTTGAAGAGATAGTGACATTCTGCCCTCCTTAACAATCTCTCTATAAATTTGTAAAACAGCTGTTTCTAAGGAACAGTTAAAACACAAATAAATCTGTTTCTCTGATACAATTTCTAGGGTGCAAAGTTGATTACTGAACACATTTTGCAGCAAGGGGTGCTACAAAACAACAGAAAATTGAACAAGTACTATAGGTGTAATATGTATCTGTTGCATATTTGTTATCTTTCTAAGTGGGAATGGAGGAAGCACATGTTTTCTTTTCCCAGTTACCATTTCAGAAGTAACACAATGTATGCCCCAAATTAAAGGAACAAATATTGACAGTAACCATTCAAAATTTAAAGTTAATTGATATACAAGGAATATATTTAGAGGACACAGGGTGCAAATGACAGAAGGAAATTCTAAAAAGAGGTACATTTAAATAGCCACATCAGCTATCTGGAGATATGGAGAATGTGATGTGGATTTGAAACAATGGAAACAATTTTCCTCTAACAAAATAAAATACAGGTAATTCTTAATCTGATCATTAATTTCTCTGATGGTGGTATAGTCCCTGGAGAGAAGCAAAACAATCTCTGTAATTAGTTACACTTAAAATCAACATTGCTGGAAACTATGCTAGGGGTCAGAATAGCTCCAGCAGAGATCCAGATGACTGTGACAATGATTACAGCTGACCCCAGAATTCTTCTGCAGATAATTCTCAGTGAAGCCAATAAGCATAAATGTGGAGTGCTGTAACATGAAAACTTCAAAGCAAGAGGGTATACTTTAAATGGTGGTATAAAAATCAGAAGATTGTTAAATCTGTTTATATAAGTTGTGAATATTGGGGAAAAAAACTTACTGATAAACTCATAATTATTTTTTTTTTTTAGGAAGAAAAAACTATCTCCTATACTAGCATGTTGCATGTCCACTATTGTACATTACTTGTGAACAGCTAAGGAACAATAGTAAATAAATGAGAGGAAACTCAATTTTTCTATCCCTAGCACAGCTGAAGTGCATGTTACTTGATTGCTTTAACTGAATCTGCCAGTATGCTTCACAAGCTCCTGGCAAAGTATAAAGTGGGTTGTTTCTGCTCCCCAGCTGTGAGGATTAGAGGTCACTAGGGCCTTGCTCTTGCTATAAGCCTTAACTGGGGACAGGTGAATGTGGCAAAGTAAGAGAAGTTTTTTAAGCAGTTCTGAAGAATTGAGTCCTGCACTTTCTCCACAGCTGGATATTTCCTATCATGTAATCCTGCTCAGATCAAGCAGCTCATTTGCAAAGATAAGAAACTGGTGTGAATGAACGGGCTTTGTTCTCTGTGCAATTTACTGATTATGAGTTACAAAATCACTATTAAAAGTTTCTCAAAGGCAAAAAGTTTCCAAATTATGCCAGAAGAGATTGCTGGTCTTCTCTTAAGGCTGTGCTATTACGCGATGGCTTTTACCAGTCAGCTCTGTCGTAATTGCATTTATGCTTTTTGTACAAAAGGGCATGACCTTTCTCACTAAAGTGGATTAGGACACTCATATACAGTGGAGTCTACATCCACGGTTATGTAAGTAAAACGGGCATCTCCATAGAGATTCAAATATCTAAATGGAATTTAGGCATCTTATTGAAGTACTGGCCCAAAGGCTACCTCTGCATCTACTCACTTGACAGAAAGATAAGTTACTGGCCAATATTGCTTTGCCAGACAATCCAAACCATTAGTTACCAACAGTGAAAGTAATACAGTGTTGGTGCTTGGTTTTCCCCTTCCTTTCAAAAAAGATTCTGAACTTCTAAGGTTGTGTTTACTAGTACTTTATCATCTCTACTATGGTGGTTGATGCATAAAGACAATAGAAACCAATGCTATGCTACACTCATTAGATCCAAAGCTTAAATAAAACATTAGTTTTACATTAAACAATGACTTTTCTAAAATGTTCTTAATTGGCTGTGGTATCTCAGGTATTCCATGCCACTGTGCATTTTTGATTAAACAAAACTACAAGATGGTGTGCTTAGGGCAGTCTGTACTATGAGACACCTCCTCTGCTAATGATGCAAACTGGCTTCATAGAATTTGGGAGCAGTCTGGAGTTACCTGTCATCTTGGAAAGGCCTCCTGAGACACCAAAATGTGTGAGCGGGGCTGCACAGCTTCCAGGCAAAAGACGGCTCATGTCTGGATGGCTTTGAGAGCGAGCAGGGGACGTGAGGCATCCATCTGAGTACTGGGCCATATTTAGCTTTTCACTGAATAAGAATGGAAAGGGACAGTGCACTTAGGATCATCACACGCTCATGGTGGACACTGTGTTAATGCAAGGAAGTTACTTTCACTCCCTAGAAAATTGTGCATGATTGTGCAGGTTTTGGCTGGGATAGAGTTAATTTTCCTCACAGTAGCCAGTATGGGGCTGTGTTTTGGATGTGTGATGGAAACAGTGTTGACAACGCAGGGGTGTTTTCCTTATTGCTGATGGGTGCTTACCCAGAGCCAAGGCCTTTCTGCTCCTCACCCCACCTGCCAGTGGCTGGGGGGGCACAGGGAGCCGGGAGGGGGCACGGCCGGGACAGCTGACCCCGACTGACCCCAGGGACATCCCAGCCCATGTGGCCTCATGCTCAGCACAGAGAGCTGGGGAAGGAGGAGGCAGGGGGCACGTTTGGAATGATGGTGTTGTCTGACCAAGTTACACATGATGGAGCCCGGCTGCCCTGGGGATGGCTGAGCCCCGGCCTGCCCAGGGGAAGGGGGGAACGAATCCCTTGTTTTGCTTTGCTGGTGTGCACAGCTTTCACTTTACCTGTTAAATGGTCTTTATCTCAACCCATGGGTTTTCTCACTTTTACTCTTCCAATTCTCTCCGCCATCCCACTGGTGAGGAGTGAGGGGCTGTCTGGGGCTGAGTTGCCAGCTGGGGGTTAAACCACAATGATGATATAAACCAGCACCTATATTGTAAAACAGGTATTTATATGAGTCACAGTAACTTCTGAACTTGATCTTCTGTCAGAGTCTACTCCCTCAAAACTCCTTTTGCCAGAAACCTCTTAAGACTTTAGATGAACCTCAAACAGGTTGGAATCTGTTTTTCCAGCAACTATACCATGTCAGGGGAGTTGCAATACTCCGTCACCTTTTCACTCTCTGGCATCAGGAAGGTGTAACTTCAGCGGAAGGTGACAAAACCCTCTACTGGGCAACTTCCTAATGTTACTACACCACGACGGGGTGAACTACTAAATGTAATGAACATGCCAGCAATGAGATCATCCTAGACGTTTGAGACAGACAACCTTATTGAGAGTCAGAGCCTGCAACACTGTCTGCACCGAGGCCCCGGCAGGAAGGCCTGGCCTGGGCCGGCCGGTGGCTGTAAGTGCTCACCGAGCACCCCAGCAGCTCTGGGGTGGCCTTGGCTGTAACAGCACCTTTGCCACATTGCTGCATGGAGAGTCGAGAAAGGGCGTCTTGAGGGCTCATGGCGGTAGCTGAGAGGTTTTACCCTCGCAGAGGCTGGCCAGGGGAGCGCCGGGGCCGGGGCAGAGACGTCTGGCACCCTCAGTCCCTTCGCGGGGGTGGCTGCGGGTCTTCCCGCCCGGTCGCTGCTCCCTCGCCTCGCCGCCGGTCAGGGCTGAGGCGGTCGAGGGCGCGGGCGGGAAGAGGCGCACCCCCTCAAGGGAGCCCTTTACCTCAGCTTCGCCTTCCCCGGGGCCCCCAGCCCGTCTCCCCGAGCACCGTCAGCCCCTCGCGGGTCGGGGCGGGGCGGCCGCCACCGCCGCTGTCAGGGAAAGGGAGGGGAGCAGAGGGAAGGGAAGGGCCGAGCCGCCGCCTCACCCATCAGCTGTTGCTGTCCGGGCCCTGCGCGCCGGGCGCCGATTGGTCGCCGCGCGGCGCCGCCCGGCCCTCGATATAAGGCGGAGCGGGCGGGGAAGGAGCTGTCGCGCCCGCGGTGGCGTCGGTGGATGCGCCGCGGGACGGTGCGAGGTGGGGCCGGGACGGACGGTGAGCGGCTGGGGCGGTGGGGCCGGTCCCGATACGAGGGCGGCGGCGGGCTCGGCCGAGCGCCGTGCGGGCCTGAGCGCTTGGGTGGGGGGCGGGCCCGATGTGCTGTGAGCCGGGGCGGGCGCGAGCCGCGTCTCGGGGAGGGCTCCGCGCTGGGGCAGGGCCGGAGCCTGGGGAGCAGCTGGCGGGGGCTGCCTGCGTCCCCCCCCCCACCTCGGGCCAGGGCCGCTCTTTGTGTCTGCGGCGGCCCGGCGGGAGGGGTCGGGGCTCGGTGACGGCGCTGCCTCGCGGTGGCGGTGTGCCCCGCAGGCCGGGCCAGGGCTCCCCCGGCGGGGCCCGGCCTCCCGAGCTGCCTCTCCGCCCGTGGGCTCGGGCCCCTGCGGCGGCCGCTGCGCTGCAGTCCGGCGGCGGCGCCTGACGGCCCGGCAGCCGGGGCGGGCGCGGGCCGTGCCCGCCGCCAGCCGGGCTCCGGGAGGCTCGTCCCCGCTCGCTCAGCGCCGCCAAACTCGTTGCGGGGAGTTCGGTACGTGCTACGTGTAAGTCCAAGCTGACCGTTACGTTGACAGACCTGGGAGTTCACGGGAACGTCAGTTGTTTAAAACTAATCTTCTTCCTTCCTCTGAGCATCCGCAGTGTACCGTAGTGTCTTGTGCTCTTCCTTTTCCTGACATGACTGCAGGTGTAGGCATCTGTCAGTAGACGTTGCTTTTGAATAGACCTAAAGAACTCAGAACAACTTGTAAGACTCTTGCCTTGATGAGCATGTAGGTGAAACGGCATTGGATCTTCTCTCCCTGACAGCCTGTACTAGAAGCTAGTGGCTAGATGTCATTGTGTAACCCTGGAAAGCCAAGAGTAAAAGGGATTCGGGATGCGGAACATCTAGAGACCAGTGTGATCCCTCTCTGCAGGGGAGGTGTGAGGAGGAACACTTGCCGGATGAGATCCAAAACTGGTGTGACCTTCAGCCTTCTAATAAGGTGATTCTGAAACTGAGTAGAGGACTCGTAGCCTGAGCTCTAGTAGCTACTCAGTACAGGTATGTGATAGACTTTTGGGGTACTTACAGTCTGAAGACAAGCTGATGATAAAAACTGCCTGAATATCAGAAATGTATGGGTTCTACCTAGCTGCTGTTAGGCAAAGCCATTAAAAAAACCCCAAATCACACATTTGGAGAACTACCTTGAATGTGTAAATAGAAATATTTTTTTTATCAGCAAACTTAATGTTTGTATCTCAGCGATTTTTCTAATATATCAAAAATTAAGCTATGCCACAGGATATACACAGTATATTCCTTCTGATAACTGAATGTCAGAAGTGACTCTGTTATCTTATCGGGACAGACCTGCTGATACCAGAGTTCCATGTGGATGTGACACTGACAAATAGGAATCTAGAGTGTGACAGATGCTTTGCCAGCCATGCAATTGCCTTTGAAGCAAACCTCGTCTTAACAGTAGAAACTTGCTTCTAGTTTGGCATAAACTGGCTGACTTGCCTGGCTGGCAGTTACAGCATTAAACCTCTTCCCTTTAAATTGTTGCTGTCTGGGAAACTTCCTAGGCTACTGCTCTCCCCTCTCTTCATTTACTGTGTTCTGTAAAATATTAACATCTGTGTGGTTTAGCTTGGTGTAAAGCTTTAAAAGTGTTTCTTGATTAAGTGTAAGGTACTACTATACTTCGTGCAGAAACTAACTGCTGTTCCAGTCAACACTGGTAAGTATTGGGTTTCGTTCTAATGTTTTTAACAGGTGCTTGAATGCTAAGTTGTTGTGAGATGGTCCATAACTAATTAGCTACAGAAGAGCCTTTTTTAGCTGCCTTCCCTGATCTCTTATTCTTCATAACAAGTATAATAAGGGTTGGGAGGTGATTTGCATTTCAGGCATCTGCTAAACAGCTTTCGGCTTCTAAAATAGCCTCTGGCCAAGCCCCAGTTTGTGCAAGGTAACTTGGCTTTATCGGAAAGAGGTGGCATTACTTGGGGTTAATTAAGACTAACAGTGATCGCACTTCTTTTTGGAAGTGGTGGAGCCTGAGCACTCCTGTATTGTAAAGGCCAAACTTTCTATGGCTGTACACACTTGTGTGCCAGTGGTAGCATGACAGTTCTGATTTCCCTAGAGAGTCTTCCCTCATCTTCCACTGGCAGTAAGGATGTTTTTGTGATGAATATGCAGCATTCCTCAAAAGTAATCTTACAGGAAAAAGCATTTTTCACAATTAGCATGTAGTGCAAACTGCTGTTACTTCGTCTCTTAAAGATCTAAACATGGAGGCTTTTTAACAAAACAGTCATTACTAATCTTTTTTTACTTAAGCTGAAGGTCTGTAGTAGTTCTGTTCTCGTTTCCTTTGCCCTGTCCCATTCAATCTACTTAAGGTAAAATAATGTAATAGAAAGTATACTTCCCAGCTTCTGCCCCAAACCCAAAAAACAAAAGCCCAAAGACTTAATACTTGTACCTTAAACATAGTTGCTTGAGGACTTTGGTATATTTGGGTGAACTATAGTAGATTTCCTTTTGAAGCCCCTTCCTATGGCTTTGGCTTCTATGGTGGCAGTTATTTTTTTTTCAGAAACATGCCTGCAGGCATTAACAATAGTGAACTTAGCAGCAGAATGTCTAGAAACATTAAAAACTTGGTTTAAAACCTAATGCCAGCCTTGCATTGAATTTGTCCCCTAGCAGCCTTCTGCAATTTTAATTGCCTTTCTGTTTGTCCTTTCCTTATAGCTTCTGAAATGGATAAAAAGACCTTCACAAATGAAGTTCTAAGTAGAAGCTTGTATTAGGCAAAAAAGCAGTTATTTATGGAAAAATGGTTTATAGCTGATGTATGAACTGCTTGATTGCTGTAAGAACTGGGATAGGCTATTTGTAGTTCCCACCAGTGAATCTGACTAATCTTGCTAATGAGTAAATATGCTTAGATTCTTGCTTTGATAGCAAGTGTGGTGGGAAGGGATATAGAATTAGAAGCACCACCAAGTATATGTGGATGATGTTAGCAATCCTTTTGAAGATCAGGAATTTACAGCTTTTAATATCTTACAGTAAAAGTGATAAATGAAGTCAGTGCTGCTCCTAGTATGCAACATGGGCTCTTTTAGCTCAGGTATGCTTTAAGGAAGAAGTGAGTCTGAAAGCTAGTTGTAATCTCCCTTGGATAATTTAAGGGGATCTACAGAATGCAGTATTTTTTACATCAAGTGGACTCTGAAGACAGCTTAATCTTGATTTCAATTAGTTGCTGCTGGAAAGAGTAGTGAGGTTGGAGTTCTGTGTCTAGAGAACAACACCGAAACCAAAAGTGCCCCAGGTCGTTCTTGCTGGTATAGTTACAACATGCAAATGTACTGTGCTAAGGATAGAATTAAGGCTGCAGGAAAGCTTTAGCTCTAGGTATACAGCGACCTAAAGCCAGAAAAATTGCAGTATGAACTAGCAACTACACTGTAGCCTTCGGTACCAGAACACTGCAGGTGTCTGAAACAAAACTATCCAACGGAAATAAAATAACAGTGCTACCACCCCAGTTACTATCATTAACTATCCATTAACTAGTTGTTTCTGCCATTGTAAATCAGTGAAGATGCTTAATATGTATTTTTATAGAGAGTACTGGCTCCAGACTCCTTGAGTGGGAAGGAAAAGAAGATAGGCCTGCAGAAGGAATGACTTCTACGCTTTAACTCATTGAGAAGTGGAATTGAAGTGCTTTGAGAAAATGACCTTGAATTTCATCTAGTTGTCATTTTCCTAGAAGGTAAATGTCTGTGGAATAACCTTTCCAAAGATGTGTGGGCTTGTTTTTTCCTACCACTCTTAGCATTAGCTGTGGTATGGTACAATGATGTGAGGAGCTTTCCAAATAGAAGCTAGAAAGGGCTCCTTGATGCAATCTGATTATCTTGACAGTATTACTGTGAGATCACACTTATTTCTGTGCCTAAAGAAAGGGAATGTACTGGGCAATACGTCCAGAGAAAGTTGTACTCTTGTGTCCCAGAGTTCAAACTGATGCAGATCCTTTGAACTTTTGATCAAATAAAAAAGCATTCAGAATTTTAAAGGTAAACAACTGTGGATTTGGCCAAGGAAGATCTTTAAGAGGAATCTGTAAGTTGCTCTGTTGCACTCAAATTTGGACTAGAAATTGTTTAAAAAGTGTAAATCAGTCTCATGCATCCTGGATGTCCTAGTTCTCCATCTCTTAACACTCTTCTACCTTGCTGTATCAAAGCAAAATCACTTGAGACACAGGAGAGCCAAACCCATCTAGAAGTAACATTCTAGTGTAAACAGAGTGAGCATTCATGTAAAACATCCTGCCTCAAGGACAGGTCCTGCAACTTTCTGTTTATATTTACTACTGTTAACATCTCAGTTGTTTTAAAGAGCTCTTCTATTAGTTGGTGATAATAAGTATAAATGACCCCTTGGATGGAAGGATGAGTCTGATAATATTTAATCCCAGTTGTTAAATCTGACATTTTGTAAAGGATTAATGTGTATTTATTCTAAAGGAGCCATTCTGACTAAGCTTAGTTGACTTGCTAGAGCAGAGGATAAAGAAACAAAGCTGTCTACCCCAAGTAATCAGCATGTTCTTTCTGGCCAGCTCTGCAGCTTAGAACTCTCTACTTATCCTCCTGGCTTCTGCTGTAGAACTTCATATATTCTAGAAGCACCAGCTGTGTAGGAGATGCCAGTGACTGAAGTCACCCACTCATGGAGTGCACATGGGCCTGCAAGGTTTTTCCCAGTGCCTGCTAAGAGTAAGACTGATGGAGACTTGGCTCTGATCTTTGTATAGTTTAACATCAGGATTGTTCCAAAAAGTGGAAGTAGGGGTTAAATTGGCTCACAACTTCAAGCAAGCAGTAGCAGTGTTATTAAGCAGTAAGTGTGGTGGTCAGCAGAAGTGTCCAAGAATAGTAAATAAGAATTAGGAGTACTATGCAGCTCTTCACACAAGGACAGCAGTAAATGCCTACCTCTCATGATTCCTCTGAGCTGGTCCTGTGCATGCTTTATTCAGAAAAAGCACCTTTCCAAATAGTGGGCTTTCTGATCCAGCTGTACTCAGGATCCCAAAAGAAATGGGAATGGCAAGAGCCCAGTGTGTAACCTGATAAGAGAAAGCCTTGGCTCAAGATGGAGGTCTGCACACTTAAGAAGCCTGGGTTTTTTTCCTGAAATGGGAACTTGCTGACCTGCCTGTGTTTTCCTAGGTCATACTGAGACCATTGCAGTCTGTGACTGTTAAAAAGGGGGAGGGAGAAATACACTCTCACAGTCCAGTTAGAGGTAGGTCCTTTGTTACCTAGTCCTAACATCTTGCTTTTACTTTCAAACTTCTTTCTCAAGACTGCTTGCAAAGGTCTGTGCTTTGCTAGCTATTATGCTGAGGTCTAAAAACAGCTTGGCAAAGGATCCTGGTGATACAGAGGATGGTGATGTGCAAAGTTTCATATCTCTGATAGACCTCTGCTGTCTACTCATTTGAAGTCTGGCAGAGAGGTGGCATTTGCAATGTTAGTCTCCAGTATTAAAAGCTATTTTCTAGGTGACAGTAACTGTTGAGTTCTAATGTAAGATTATGTGCTGCACTAAACTACTGTAGAGAAACAGTGCTCTAGTAGGTTGCCATTGCTGCTAGAGACTGTGCAAGCTGCGGAAGAGGGCTTAATGTGGACATGCAGTGACTGTATGAGAAGCAAGGTAAACCATCTTTTATGCTGATGCTATACTGTTGTGGTTAGATCAAACCGTGCTGCAGTTCAGACATGCCCTGAGGAAAAGGAAGTACATGAAAGTCACTCTTAATCACCCTCAGCTGATCACCCTGTGTTGAATAAGCACTGCAGAACCAAGATGATCACAACAAAAATCATATGCCTCTCTGGCTGCAGTGGGCACATAGCTCTGCTGAGGGTGTGTGGTGTGGTTAGTTTTGTTTTTCTTACTTGGGCAAAATCAGGTCTGCAGGACTTGGTTGGTTGCATCAGGTACACTACAAGCTATTGGCTGCTGTATTTTACAGGGCTAGAAATGTAGCTGGAGTGTGTGCAAGTTAGGTGACATTGGACCCTAATGATACTCATGCTGAACTTCTCTTCAGTGAATGTGTCCTTGCTGAAATGACTACACGGCAGTGTGCATGGGTCTGCCATTCCATAAGATGGTAGGGAATAAACCTAGTCTCTACCTTGAGTTCTGTTGGTAAAGATACTGCACTGTAATTGCCTTGATTCTTTCATGTTGAAATGCTGGTGAGAATTCAAGTGCAGTAAATAGCACTTACAATAACCTAATGATTCTGGCTCAGGGTTGGTCAAGACTGATTTCTGAGGGGTTTGTATGAAGGTGCTGCTGTTGCAGCTGAGCCACTGCAACAAGGATGGTGAGGATGTGCAAGTGGAGAGCAGTGACGAGTGGCATTCCTCAGGGGTCAGTGTTGGAACTGGCGCTGTTTAACATCTTTGGCAACAGGGACAGTGGGATCAAGTGCACCCACAGAAAGTTCACCAACACCAAGCTGTGTGGTGCAGTGACACGCTGGAGGGAAGGGATGCCATCCAGAGGGAGCAGGACAGGCTGGAGAGGTGGGGCTGTGAGAAACTCAGTAAGTTCAACAAGGCCAAGTGCAAGGTCCTGCACGTGGGACGGGCCAATCTCAAGCACAAATCCAGGCTGGGCGAGGAGTGGTTGGAGAGCAGCCCTGTGGAGAGGGACTTGGGGGTAGCAGTGGATGGAAAACTGCCTGTGAGCCAGCAATGTGTGCTCGCAGCCCAGAAAGCCAACCCTGTCCTGGGCTGCATCAAGAGAAGTGTGGGCAGCAGGGTGAGGGAGGGGATTCTCCCCCTCTACTCTGCTCTCGTGAGTAAGTGTAGTGCATTACCTTCAGTACTGTGTCTGGCTTTGGGGCCCGCAACGTCAGGACATGGACCTGCTCAAGTGGGTCCAGAGGAGGCCGTGAAGATGCTCAGGGGACAGGAGCATCTCCCCTGTGAGGCCAGGCTGAGAGAGTTAGGGGTGTTCAGCCTGGAGAAGGGTCTGGGAAGACCTTAGAGCAGCCTTGCAGTACTTAAAGGGGGCTACAGGAAAGGGGTGGAGGGACTCTATCAGGGGGTATATGGATAGGATATGGGGTAACAGTTTTAAACTGGAAGAGCGTAGATTTAGATTAGGTCTAAGGATTAAATTCTTTACTGTAAGGGTCTGTTTCTTCTCATTCTGCATCCTAGTAAAAATTGTTACCTCTTAGCAGGCTGACCATGTGTTATCTTGAAAAGCATGTCAAGAGTTGAAGTAAGTTTAGCTTTCATTTGCTTTAGTTTGATATAGAAATCAGCATCTTCAAAGGCACTGAAGAAATAGCTTAATGATTAAAAATGGTAGGAATGTGAGAAGCCCAAAGCACTGAATACAAGAGTGCCATTGTGAAGGACATCAACCATGAATATAATGTTGCTGAATACGGTAAAACTGCACAACTTCATTAAGTGTCTATTCTTTCCTCTGCAGGAGTTTGAAGATGCAGCAAGCCTTATAGTGAGGACAGAAGAATCTCCTTAGAGAAGTCAGACAATCTGAAATAGTGACCATGTCTATTATGGATCATAGTCCCACCACTGGAGTGGTGACAGTTATTGTTATTTTAATTGCTATTGCGGCTCTTGGTGCCTTGATACTGGGCTGCTGGTGCTACCTGCGTCTGCAGAGGATCAGCCAGTCTGAAGATGAGGAAAGCATTGTGGGCGAAGGAGAAACTAAAGAGCCCTTTCTTCTGGTGCAGTACTCTGCTAAAGGACCTTGTGTAGAGAGGAAAGCTAAGCTAACTCCAAATGGCACAGAAATACATAGCTAACTTGGAGCAACACACGTATATGGACTCTGCTTATGATGTGTGTAACCAGAAGAATCTCTATACTGTGAAGAACCTGGTCACATGCACACTACTCATCAGAAAACACCCTGATGAGGATTAAATAAGCTTTGATTGCAACTGCATGCACTGAGAAGTTGCACTTTGCATCAGCTGTGTATCCTAATTCCTCTACAACAGGAGCTGACTCACCTGGCGTAATGTCCATTGCCGGCAATGGACACAAGGATATATTGGTGTGAGGAGACTACTAGTGTTGTTTTGTTACTTGAATGTTTAGCTGAGCCTATTTTGATGGATCTACTACTGTAATATGAACTACTTTACAACTGTGAACTGTAAATAGGCTGCCAGAAGCTTTTTGCTTTGTGTTCCACATCATATGGGACTCATGATGCAACTGTACATAACACAAGGGGACTCCTGACCAACTCTAGATGGGAATCCAGACCTTCAAAACCAAATCTGCAGTTAAAGCTTGCTTCTGCTACTGACTTGGGTTCACAGCCATAAAGTCAGAACTCCTGCTCTTAACAGTTTGTTGGACTAATGCAGAATATTTTCTCTAAAAAGCAGGTATAAGCCTTCAGTAACATGTTGAGGGAGGAAATACAGGAGCTACAAGAAAGGAAGTGATTTCCTTTAGTTGCAGCTAGGTGGGTTAAGCTTTTGGCTGCTGGAACTGAGCTCTCTATGTAGCTACTGCAAGGAAACTGCCATTTTGATGGATTCCAACCTGGGAACTAATGATGGATACTGAACAACCAGGGATGGTCCAGAAGGTTTCCAGGATTTTGAAATGGCAGCAGAGCAGGCTTTTCTCTTCTGTAGGTCTGCATGCTGAAACTGCAGAAGTAGTTACTTATTAAAACTGGTGTAAGTACAACTAGTATGAATTTTTCCTAGAACCCTTTAGAAGTTAGGGTATATGTTAACAGCCTGTTGTAAAAAGGCATTTTAGTCTACAGACAAACAGCCAACTATAGAATTCTGTTAATGTATCTTGTAGATAACTCTCTTGCTTTAACTGTACTACTACAAGATAAGTTTCAGTCTTTCCTACAAAAGCAAATGTTGATACAGGCAAGGGAAATTGGTCAGTTTGTAGCTAGCAATGTTGAAGTCCTTCCAAATAAGGACATCCCTTCTATTTCCTGCTCTGTGCTATAATTCAGCTATAGGAACTGTAAAAAGATATGTTAAATTGGAGTTTTGGACCCTAAAGGGGAGGAAAGGGGGCAGAAAGGGGAGGAGGAGGAGCAACACTGAGCCACCAGTGGCAGCTTGCATATTCTTAGGGTAGGCACATGTGCTTTGAGGCCACTGACCTGTTTTCTATGACTTTATACATAGCTTCCTTTGCCTACTGAAATTTTTAAACAATTGCCTAGGAAAAAAAACAGCTACTATAAATCTATTCCCTGAGATGAATTACAACTAATGAAGTCCACGTTCTTCGGCTCTACAGGAAGCATTAGACTTGTACCTGTGTATATGGAATAACTAAGTAACATAGTCCTAGCAAGCTTGCTTGAGAATTATAACTGTATGCAAGACAGTAATGGCCTAGACAAACGGTCTTGTCCCTCTTCTTCTATAGTAAGATGTTGACTTGCATTTTTAGTGCTACATTTGCCTTTTTTTTAATTGAAGGCTATAATTTGAAGCAAAATTAATATTGTCAGTAGCAAAAAGCTCCTGCTGTTGCATCTTGAGTACAGTATGGGGTACAGCTGATGAGAGGGCTGTTCTTACCCTGGCACATGATTTTTTAAAGATATTAGTCTCATGAGACTTGCATATATAGCCAGACTTGTACAGTTATACTGCTGTATTCTAGGCCTCTTACAAATCAAGGTGAAAAGAATTAATTCAGTAAGACTTTCTTTAGTTTTCAGTAGAGAACAGTTCACTGATGGCTCTTGTGGGTTTCAAGACAGTCAGATAATTGGTATACAAAAGTGATACAAAGTGCTGAAGTTCTAGAACAGAATAGTTGTAGCAAGATGACTTTGTCCATTCAAGTTTACTGATCACACAGATGAAGTATCTCTATTTTAATTCAGCAAAGAATTCAGTGTAAAGGGCAAACTTCAGAAATTATGAAAAAGTATAAATCAAAGATCTAATTTCTCTTCTAGCAGCTGTAGGAGAAAGCCAGTGAAAAATAACTGGTCCTTAGTAAGAGGTGCTTCACACTGCTGCCCCTAAAAACCAGCATCTTCAATTTCAATGGATAGGTGTTTGCAAGTTAGTGCAATAGTAAAGTGCAGAAAGTGTTTTCCATTCTCCTCTTCTCTTTAGATGTGGGTATCTAAGTTGTTCAAGTATACAAAAATATTCCATTTGATTTTTCTTTTTTTTAGATCATGTGGGGGAAGTCTTTATTTACAATGAATTTCAATAAAATTTGCATAAATACCTACCCAATACTGCATCATTTGACTTTGTAAGCAATCACTCTGTCCTGTTCCCACTACTGTGCTCTGTCTCTATGGTATCAATATTATCAGTCCTTTTTTCCTCTAGTGTGGCAGTAGCTGTTGAAACTGATATATCATTATCTTCAGGAAGTATTTGTTCTGACTGTAGGGATTCTTTAATTTCATCTTTGCTCTGCAGCTTTGCTTCCCTCGATGCCACCAGGATTCTCAGTAAAGTATTTTCTTTAAGGAGGTTTTCCGATGCATCTGCTAATTCTTGAAGTTTTTCAGCCATTTCTAACAATTCTTGATTCTTCTGGTCATATGTAGCCTGTAACTGCTCACTGTGGAGCTGCAGAGTCTTGTGCTGCTTTTCCAGTGTGTGTTTTTGCTGCTGTAACCTATGTTCCTCTCTCCTAGCTTCAGAAAGCTGTGCTTCAAGCTGGTCATGGGCCTGATGAAGGGCACTGATTTCTGATCTTAACTTCTGAATTTCTCTCTCTAAGTGGGAGATACGTCCTTGCTGTAAAACTGTCTCTTTATGCAGGCATTCTTTGGTACAGGGCTCTGATGAATGAAGACTTGAGTGATGTAAAATAAATTTAAGGAGGTTAGGAAGGTTAACTGAAAAGTCTTCAGGGAACTTCACACTTTGTTCCTTCCTAGAAAGACATAACAATATTAAAACATCCAGATAGATAAGCAATTTTGTCTAAGCATCTGCTGTTCAACTCCAATGTGATACTCTGTTTTTTATCAAGAATGGGTAATAGAGTAGCTAAGAGCAACCTGAATTCATGTAATAAAGATAGAGCACACAGTATTTTCTTTTAATAAACCCTTTTACCTGTATTCCAATCTGGGTGCTGTAAGCATCTCTGCACTGGATTGGTATTTGTTTGAGAGCAAAATTTTCTGTCAAACTTCAGAAAACAAGTTTTAGTCTTAAGGTATCCCAATTATGGGTTATGAGCTTGAAGTACATAGGGTAGCATCGCTGTTGGGCAGGTGTGATCGGTGTGTACTGATACAAACATTTGTAAATTATGTATAGAGCATCTGATGGGAAATTACTGTTTTAAGCCTGTATATGTTATTCTGGAAGAAGTAGTTTAATATGTTCCAACATCAGAAGTGTATTGCAAGGAACAGAAAACTACTGTTTGCTTTTAAACAGTAAGTAGTCACTGTAGTCAGAAGCAAGACCCTTTTGCTGTCAAAAACATAATTATTTTTACTTGTTCCTCTTACTACTTTGTCTTTATGCCACTGAGATCATAAAGAAAGCAAACCAAACAAGTTTTCTGGCTTGTTTTTTTATTTTTTTCTGAAGCTCATTACATGGTTGTCAATACTAAGCCTAGCATATGAAAAGGTAGTCCCATTGCTTTCTGCAACAGCATAAACTGTTACTTTTAACCTGACAAAGGAGTCTTAAGCTGCTTGAAGACCAACAAGTACCAAATTTTTTCTTCAAGAATACTAACCACTAAAAGACACCCCTAAACTCCAGCTGTGTCAAATGTTAAAAATACTGCTATTTTTGGACCCTGTGCATACTTTTAGCATAAAGCACAGGAAGCTAAACTGTCCCCTGAGGACTAGACAGGAACTAATTCTTAACTTTCTCTTTCTGAATCAGTTACGTCTTCAACCCTTCACTCAGCATGTTCCAGTATAACATGATTTTGCTGCCTCCTCGCTATTGCAGTAGAGTGACTTATACTTCAGTATGTTTAACTGGATAGCTAACTAATAGTTTATTACTTTGCAACATCTTTAGCCTTCACCAGCCAGAAGCATATTCTCTCTTTCATTAGAGAGCCATCAAAACAGAAGAAAAGCTTATTTTACTTCCCTTTGGTTTCCAAATTCATAACCAGATACAGGTCAGCTACACAAGTCAGGAAAAAGTACACAGGATAAACCCAAACAAAAATTATTCCAAAGCAAGAAAGCCAGATTCAAGTATAATCCCTAATGCCTCAAAGTTTAGCACTACTGCTCACAGTTTAGCACTGTGTGCACAAGTCCTGGAAAACTCCTCTGTCCCCACGTGACATTACATTTCTGAATTGCTTACACTGTGCATCTGGAGTGGGGAGTTATTCAGTTCTCAATTACAGTTGCCCTAAAAATGTTTTCTTTGAAATCCAACTTATTAGGATATGGGATATAAACATATGCTAGTATAATTGACCTGAAATATTGTAAGTTGTTTTCAGTAGAAGACAGATACTGTATTTTATCAATAATTCAAGCACTTCAGCTAGATGAGGCTCCTGTTCATCAAAAATAAGCTGTTTCTGAAAGTGTAACCAAAGTGGTTTTTTTTTCCCCTGCTGACTGATGATGTTCAACCAAGTTACTCTTCTGATTACCATCAGCAGTTTCTCAGCTGACAATCAGATCACATCCAAGTTTAATGAATCATGACATGATTTAGGCAAAAAAGAGTTTAAGACAAAACTGACTCATTATACAGTGGTAATATTTTGCTACATCATCATCCATTCTTATTGATAATAAACACTGTATCAGAAAATCTAAAAGGCTATTTAGAACAAAAAGCAAGACAAATTATTAACAACGTGGTGGAATGAAATACAGAACAGTTACCTTGCAAAAACTGTCTCATAAGGCAAATGCATAAGAAGATGCACAGAAAGCCTTAATATGAGGCACCTTTATAACCAAATTAATACATGATGACTCTAGTAGTGCTACTGATACTACAACTACTATCAAAACCTAGTTTTCTTGATTACCTAGATGCAACAAAATATAAAACACACTGGAGAGGAAAAGCAGGAGAGAAACCAATGACTAGAGGTATGGTATCTTTGTGAGACCAACTGGAACACTACAAAAACAATCTCACTAAAACTGTTATGTTTGTCACTCCAAAGACAGTCTAGTGACGCTTTATAAAACAGACCAAGGCAAAATTATTATCTATGAAAAGAAACAGCAAACACTGGGCTTTGTAGTAACACAGGGACGATGGTAACTACTCGAGGAAGCTTCGCTTGCTGTAAATTGTTTTACTGCTCTAAACCCTGCTTGAGTTATGCCTTAAAATAATTCAAGAAAAAGCTTTTCATCATGTTATGCATGACTGTCACTGTCCCCTAGAAGGCATGGTTCTGCAAACTAGGTCCTTGTTCAAAAGTGGGAAGGAAAGTCACTTGAGTCAAGTTGCCAAATAGTATGTGGGGGCTCATAAACTAGAACAGTGGTCTTAAAACTGTAGCCACAACAGTATTTGGAAGTCAATTTCTACCTTTTTCCAGCCCCCAAAATTAATCACAGAACTAGACTGCCATGAAGATGATCAGGGGCTAAAGAGTTGGGGCTGTTCAGCCTGGAGAGGAGAAGACTCTGGGGAAACCTCATAGCAGCCTGCCAGTGCTCAAAGGGGGCTACAGGAAAGGTGGGGAGGGACTCTTCATCAGGGATCGCAGAAGGGGTGATGGTTTTAAACTGAAAGAGGGTAGATTTCAGTTAGATCTAAGGAAGAAATTCTTCCCTGTGAGGGTGGTGAGGCCCTGACACAGGTTGCCCAGAGAAGCTGTGGCTGCCCCCTCCCTGGAAGGGTTCAAGGCCACGTTGGACAGGGCTGGGAGCAACCTGGGCTGGTGGAAGGTGTCCCTGCCCATGGCAGAGGGTTTGGAACTGGATGATCTTTAAGGTCCCTTCAAGCCCAAACAGTTCTATGATTCAGCTTATGCCACCTGACGTAATGGAGTTGACAACAGCAAACCACCACTACTACTTGTCTCAATTATCAACAGCACCTCAAGAAACAGACGTGGCTCATCCCAACTAAAATTGAGACTGCTCATCTTTAAATCAGTCAGTCATCTGCTTGTAGCCACTCAAGCCAGGCACAATTAATGAACTATGTAAATGAGAGTTAGAGTCTGAATACCTGAAAATGTGCAAAACTGAGACCCAGTGGAATCTGCAGAACTTGGACAGGTTACTGGATTGAGGTATTGGCACTGAAGAGTTCAGCTTTGCTAAACAGCAGGCAAAGATAACACTGCATTCATGTAGACAGGTACACACCCTGGAACTACTCCAGTGGAGTTCCTGCTTAATTAACGTAGGGAACAGAGAAGGACTGGAACTGAGCTGGAAGAATGTGGCAGAGGGAGCCTATTTGCAAGGTTTACTGCACAAAGTAGGGGAAATGATGAGTTGGAAGCTGGGGTGACTCAGAACTGATATAAATGAAACTATTTCTGTACTGAATTAAAACACTCATTTAGAACTGCAAAACTTAAAGGCACAGGTTTAAAGATCATGTGGGAGGTAACACTGCATAGTACCAACAGTCTGAATTACCATTTGCTGATGATAGCGTTCTTGAGGGAGAAGGGTGGAAATCAACATTTTTATTTTACATTGGAAAGAGGCAGGTATTTATTAGTATAGTGCTTGTTTTCATTTTCTTTCTATAAAAACTTTAATTGTGTAAGATTAATACTCAGTCTACTAAAAAAAGAAAAACAAAACCCAAGGTCAATCAAGTCTAATACATAGCACATACATGTAACACCAAAACTGTATCTTAAACAATAAACTGAGCACTTTTAAAAACTTGTGGCTCTCTTGCATCTAATATTTCTCATTCCTTACTCCATTGACATTTTATACATTAAACTTACTTTTAATATGAACCTTCTTTCAATACAAATGGGAACATAGCTGACATAGAAATGAAATCTAAAACAGAGGAGAATTTAACCCTTATTTTTATTAAATCAGGACAAGATATGAGCTATCTCTATATGTAATGCCATTGCTATACTCTGTAAAATCAGAGATTTTGCCTTAGATATTAGCATCTCCTTCAGAGAGCTTATAAAGGCCAGAGGTATTTCAACTCATTCTCTGTGCAGCTGTTAGACTAGTTCTTAGCTGATGGAACACTTCCATGGTTTATGCAGACTGCCAAAGAATCTGATACCCCAAATAGAGGTTATGCTAGACACATATACAGTCCCTCCAAAAGCCAAACATCAGAACAACGAAAGAAACGCAACCTGAAAGAACTTCAGTTTGAGCAACGAACACTCTGAAGTCCCTCTGCTTACATTACATTCATACAGCCACCGAGGAGTGAGGGAGAAATAAAAATTCACAGATTAGGACCACTGTAATATTTTCAAAGGATGCATAAGCCCTCCTTTAGTACTCAGATTCTCTTATTTTTTTAAAAAGACAATTTTTTTACTTTAAAAACATTTAACTATCTCCTTTCCCTCTGTAATGTCAGGATTGTTAGATTTTGTTCTCTTAAATGAGACTAAGCTTGGGTTGGATTACTTATCTGTGCTTAGTTTTTATTTTTCTTCATTAAAAGCATAGCAGGCAAATCCTTGCATTTTACTGCAAGAATCCATTGTAATATTCTTTGAGATCTCTCTTGGTTTATCCAATTGGATGCAATTAGATACAAGTTGCACTAGATCTATGTTGCACCACCATCTACATAATTTCTCCTCCTTTTCCCAGTCTTGTAGTCACTCATTAATTTATTTGGACCATGGCAAAATAATAATTTTAAATACAACCCAATAACAAGGAAAATTACCTGAAGAATAAGGTTAGTAATGCTGCTGTTCATAAATAAAGACTTACAAACATCTAAATAATGACCTTTGGAGAACACTCACTATCTGCATACCATCAGCTAACCATGTCTGTTGGGCTTTTTTGTTGTTTTGTTGTTGGTGGGTTTTTTTAATTAGAATATGCATAAAGTAAGAATGCATATATGGAAATGAATTACCGTTTGACTTTTTTCTCTGCTAAGACATGTGACCAGATAATTATTATAACTTAGTAAAGTGAAAGTTAAAAAAGCACAGGGAAAAGAATTATATTACCTCTGATGAGGAAAAAATAAAATGGTTGGGAGACGGTCTGTCATAAATTCCCATGGAAGGTCATTTCGAGTGGTATCAATTCTGTTAAGAAAAGACACACTGATGAAGAGAACAGGCAGATGAACAATCTGTATTTTCTTGTAAAACACCATTTTAGGGGAAGAAAGAAATGCAAGTATCTGTAAAAGTAAGCCTAAGTGTATTATGCCAAAAATATGTTGTGCATCTGAGTCAGCAGAATTAACTACCAATATTCAAGATGATGTGTCTCAGTTTAACAAATAACTGTGGGGGTTTTTTTGCTACAAAAATATGTACAGTATTCTAACTGGTCTCACTCAGCAATTAAATCACACACTCATGTACACATCTTCATTATGTACACACCTTCCTTCTCTGAAACAAACAGACCTGTCTAACAGTTTCAGTGTGAGACTTCTATTCATTTATTTGTTCCTCAAGCACAACTCTATGAGTATTTTCCCCTCAAGTAGCTTTGGCAGTAGATTACTTTGCTTATTCCAAGGACAAGCACATTCTTAAAGGCATGATTTTTTCTAAAGTTCTACATAGAAAGGAACATAAGATTTTGTGAATGAAACACTTGTTCAATTGCTTGTTATGTTTTTCTCTGCATTTTTATGTTTCCTTAAATTACAAATAAAATTCTTATTAATTACAACAGTTGTATTATAGAAAAAAACCATAGATGATTACATCAGTAATACTGCAATAAAAATAATAGAGCTAATGAGAGAACTTCAAAGTCAGGAAAGAGAATGGGTATACATCTGAGAGTAGCATTACAACTGTGGAAATAAAGCCGTAATTATAAACAGGTGGTAACTCCAGATTTTTAATTTAATTTTTTTCCTGTACATCTCATGCTGGCTCCTGGAGTAAGTTCAGTCAGAATGAAACAAGGACGCAACCAGAGCAGAAGTTGTAGTGTATTGATGTATTATCAAATACATGAACAAGAATGTTTGGGTTGCATTGAAATATTAAAAACCTTGGAAACACCACACAAAAACATGCCTTTTATATATATATATATATAAATACAAATACTTTAATATATATAACTATATGTATTATATATAAAAATATATATAATACACATATGTCGCATCTATATATGTCTATAAACTGGTTTTAGCTGGGACAGAGTTAACATTCTTCATAGTAGCTTCTATGATGCTATGTTGTAGATTTGTGATGAAAATAGTGTTGGTAACATAGAATGCTTTGGTTATTGCTGCACCGCACTTCCACAGCACCAAGGCCTCCTGTTTCTCCCTCTGCCCCCACAGGGGATACACTGGCGAGCGGAGACACAACCAGGCAGATGACCTGAACTAACCAAAGAACTATTCCATACCATGTAACATCATGCTCAGCAATAAATGGGAAAAGAAGGCGTTTTAGGCAGGCTAGCCATCTTTTACTTGGGAACCATCTGGGCATCAATCTACCCACAAGAGGTGCTGAGTGACTGCCTTTGCATCACTTGTTTTGCTTTCTTCTTTCTCTTTCCACTTACACTTCAATTATTAAACAATTTTGGTTTGTTTTATCTTGACCTCCATGTTTTCTCAGGTTTATTCTTCCTTTCCTCTTCCTCCATCCTGCTGGGGATGGGTGGGGGAGGTGAGCGAGTGGCTGTGTGGTGCTTAGCTGCCTACAAGGGTTAACTCACAACAATATGTATTTTGCCTATCTCAAACTATTTCTCAAATACAGTACTGTAGGATATAATTACTTGCTACAAATTATCAGAGAGAGGGGAAAAAATTATTTTCTACTGCTGTCTTACTGATTCGTTTCCTGAAATTAGGAAGCTTCAAAGTTAATTGCACTGTTTAAAAAATCATTTTAATTAAACTGCGTAACTACTGCAGTGAGATTGAAAACCACCAAATTTATACAGAGGAAAACAAAATAATCCATTCAAAGAAAAATTAAGTGGATCACATTCATATCTCCTATTGCAAGATTGTAGAGAGAAAAAAAGTTTATTATTTTCTAGGCTGATGACCTCAATGAACTTACATTATTCTAGAGAGATGAAATTAGAATATTTTTTACCTTGCCACAGTGAAATTATCTGGAGGCAAAAGCCGAGCAAGTTGTATAAAGATGTGATTAAGTGAAGCACAGAATCCACACCACGGTGCATAATAGAGCAACAAGACATTCTGGAAAATGAAATGGAGAAGAGTTTGATTATCTACTGCAGTTAATCTGCAGTAAAGGAGGACAAGTCTTCACAACATCTAAAACTTGAAACCTTTAAAATATGAAACTATATTCTAATGTTTATAAATTTTATTATAAGCTATTTACTGATGCCCTGTCTACTGAGTTAACATACAAAAACTTTTGGGGAATTCTCTTTCCATAAAGACAAAGAGATTTAGATTATTTAGGTTAGGATCATTCCCTTTAAGTAAAAATGCACCAAACTTTACTACACTTCCCAAGATTCTTTGCAATCTTAAATTCCTATGTATCCAACAGTGACTGTATACTTTGGGTTTGGGGGGCACGGAGGAAAAGATGATATCTAAACTTCTGCTTTTTGCCTCTAACTAGCAAAGCAGGAGTTAGGGCTGCTGGAAACCGAATACTGGAGATGCATACATTCACTGCAGACCTGAAAGACAATGGATATTAATCCTTACTATCACATCTTTAAGAAATCAAAGTAATTTAACTATGTTCAGGATGACTTCTTATGTAAAGCAATTTCATGGCATGTAATTGGCAAGATTTACCTGTGAGAGTTTTGGGGTTTTTGCTGTGTGCTTTCACATGATGCCTTGGGTTTAAAACCTGTTTTTTTTTTTTTCCATTATCTACTTCGCAATAATTTTTAACTTTTTTTAAAGTAAGCTTTTTAAAGAAATGTAATTATAGAAAATGTTGCAGTATATTTATTTCCTTTGAGGTATGAAACACAGAAATCAGAATATTCTTCAGTGTTACCTCAAACTGTATGTATTTAGCACGTGCTCCTGCTACACTGGAAGAAAGTAAAAGGAAAAATCAACTCATGGACACTTTTTTTTTTTTTTTTAAAATTAAAATCTACCTTTCAAACACACAGGAAAAAGCCCATGCCTCCTCTCCCCAAAAAATAAAACAAAACCCCAACAAACCTTGAACTGTGGCAGAAATCTGACAGGGAATCAGTTGCACTGACTTTGATTATTTCAACTCCAGAAGATACTACTTTGCAGATTTACTTAAGATCTTACTATTCAGAATTGCCTTTTTTTTTTTTTTAAAGCACTGTTGGATAGTTACAAAATAATGTATTTTATGTTACAAATAAGCAAAGCACATCAATGTAAAAAAAGAATGAGACCCATTCCTCAAAAGTCTGAGAAATTATTTGCAAGAAACTTTTTCAGTAATGAGGTGTACCTTTTCACTCAAAAACACAGTATCATGAAAGGTATTAGTAGTCACTTCAGTGATTACACGCTGTTCATGAAAATGGACTGAAGGGTCATCAACAAGATGCCTTTTCAAGGGACTGTAGAGAACACTGAAATTTTTTATGAAGTTCTCTGAAATGAAATTGATACATAACAAAGTTATTTCAGTTTCACAAATATGTGATTTTGGCAGTTTTTACTCTGGAATTCAGAAGAACTTACAGAGAAAATACAAATTCAAACCTGGTTTCATGTCATTAATTTTTGACAGTTTGGTATCAACTCTTGAATAACTACCACTTATGTGAAAACAAGATAAAATTTCACTGTTTTTTTCTTTTACCCATTACAGTCTTATTTTCACTTGCCACACTACCCTCTAATCTTGCTTCTAGTTCCTATTCAATGTACTATAATAATAATAATTCTCTACCCTCCTAATCTAACCACACATAAGCCATAAATACTATGCTCTCACCATTTTTCACTTTCTACATAGCACTGAAATACTTGTACCTCATCCTGAAGGCTCTACTTAATTCCACGTTTATTTGCATTTATTCTTTATTTATTCTGCATATATTCTGTAATTCTCCTTTTGCTTTAGACCTTTAAAAGACTATGCTACTCCCATGCCGATATGACCAGCCACCTTTTGTTCACCAGTGATCACCTTCCTCTTCATTCAGCTTTCTCCTTAAAGATATTTATCAAGTAGCTAGCCAGTGGTAAAAATTTAAAACAAACTCCAAAGCCCTCAACTACCTTCAGCTACACTAATCCGAGCCTTGATAATGTTCTCTAAATTGCTGCAAGATACTGACTGTAACCTTCTTTACAATTTAGGTAGAGAAATATTATTCTATGCATTAGAAAATAAGACTAATTCAGTAATCAATACAAAAGATTTAATATCAAACACACTAAAAATAATTATTTGATCAAACAGAAGCATTCTGTGCTGGTATTTCCAGTCCAAAAACTAGGCCCAAGTAAAACTGGCACTTCTGCACATACATACAAAATACCAAATCATCAAGTCTATCTCTGAAATGCAAATAGCAGTACATTTAATTTTATATTTACTATTCAGCATTTCGTTAAATTCTCACACCAGACCAAAACAGGTTTTATTCTTTCTAGATCTCCAGATTTGGAGTATCTATGCATGATTAAGTAATAACTGAAAGGAGGGGGCTATTAAAAGACATACTCCTGAACTTTTAGAAACCACCTGTAAAAACTGAAATCTGTGAAAGGTATTAAACACAGATCTGTTTTGTTATTTTAAAAAAATCAAAAATCAAAGAGGCTTAAGGAAGGAAAATAAAATAAATAAAACCCACAACAAACAAACAAAAATCACAGTGACTCCTTGACAAAATATGTAGAAGCAAAAATCTTCCGGAAGTTCCGATGACTTGGAATAAAAATTGACCGAGCATTACTCAGCAGAGAAACCGTCATCATGCTCAGGAAATCCTGTGACCTGAAAAAAGTTTGAGACAGAAAGTACTGGGAGCAGAAAGGGGAAGGAAATCTCAATCTCCTCACTCTGCTCTTAATTTTTCCTATGCACCCTTTTATGGTCACTGGGGATTTTGTTTGTTTTTCCAGAGTGTTTGTCTGCAGCACTGGAATGGAGACAGGTTACAGGGCTGGATGGGATCCTTATTAAGAACATGGCTATTTGTTCTATGTTGTGCATACTTGTGCACTTACAGATTTATGGCAAAATGGAAATGTAATTAAGGCTAAAAGAATTATATTGATATACCTTCTTGAACTGTTTATTTTAACACTATGTTCACCTGAATTTACTTCCATGTTTACTTACACTGCTAACATTAAAACCCCCTGCATTTTCTGAAGGTGGACTCAGTTTTGTACATCATCATGACAGGCTATCATGATAGCATGTGGTTATTAGGTATGCTGTGTCTTACTCAATACCTTGCAAATAAATCAGAACCGTGATTGTTGAGCTGGTTGGTTCTTTGATTTGGGTTTTTCTTCCTCCTCCAATTCAGCCAGGAAAGAGAGTATTGACAGATTTGGCCAAAACTGCTTCAGAGCTCTACCTTGAAAACATACATGCTTTTCAAAATAAATTTAAACCAATTGATAAGTTGGTTTCAGAGGACAAGAAGAAGGGCTAGTCTCTGCTGATAAGCGGGCAGTATCTTATGAAATTCTCAGATATTTTAGGACACAGAACAGCTGAGTAACCACCACCACCATTAATATCCTAATGTCTTCTGTAATATTGAATGTGTTAGATGCACAGAAATTTTTTTTTTCTCCACAAGCAAATTATTTTACATTTTAGCAATTCCTTCAATGCATCAGGCAGCCAAGAATCACGCATTTTGAGGTTTACTTCTTTTAGAGCAAATTATCTTTGGTAAATGAAGTTTAGTTCTTACATCATCTAGAACACAATTCTACTGCCTAGTTAACTACTAAATAAATTAGAATAGAATAAATTACTATTCACAGTGTTGACTATAGTCTCACTTTTCAAAATGGCATTAAGTTTTCCATTCACAAGCTTGCTTGCAAACTTAGTTTTCCTATTTCAAGCAATTGCATAGTGGATACCATACCCAGGGTAGATCCAACAAGTGACTGATTTTGATCCAGGACATAGTGCACTTCTTCTTTCAGGTCAACTATGGCAGCAAATTCCTTAAGATGGGCAGATCTTGATGCTCCTAGTCTCTCTGCGTATATCCAAAAAAGATTTGAATCCAGTAGATAGAGATTCAAGGTTTTGTTGGTCCTGCAGCTCAGACCAGTAAAGTTAGTGCCACTAATATGAAGGTCTGGAATAAAACAATTCCTATCCTCAATGTGAGGAATAGTATGCTGGGTGTTATCTTTCTTCCCATGGGAAGAAAATGATACTTTGGGGGTCTGAAAGATGGTCTTCTCAGAACTAATGAAACTTAAAAAATGTCTGTTTACCGTCCTGCAACATGCAGTGTAATAGCTAAAGGGACTATAGAAACTTAAGAAATTGCTGCATTCTATGGTATTTGATATAACTTGAAAAAAGGTATGTTCCTGGAGGTAGAAAGAGTCCAAAGCTGCTTCTATCTCTAAAAAGTTACAGTGTGGCACGTGGACTTTATTTGGTTTGACACCAAGTGTCTGGTTAATGCAAAGCTCACATACATTGTGAGTTCTAGATATTGAATGCCACTGTGGAAGCACCACTGTGTTACAGCATGGGTACTTGGTTATAGAAAATGTTTCTGATAATTTCATATATGCATCTGGTACAGAGGAATCAAAAGCTGGTGAATCAGTGTCTCCTAAGTATTGAAGATCTGGCTCAGCTGCCTGGCTTTTATTACAATTGTGGTATTCCAAGGCCACTTTGGTAATCTACAGGAAAGGGGGGGTGGAAAAAAGAAAAAAAATGCAAGATTAACTGTACATTATTGACTCAAATGCAGTTCTCTGTTGCAGGTTTAACAACATATATGCAATTAGAGATGGAATTTCAAGAACATGAAGTTGACTACTCTTCTCCTATGTTCTTACAAAAAATTATAGGAGGCTCTGACTTGATAACAAAGTCAAATTTTCAGGTATTTCAACATGTCAGAATTATATGTTCAGAACAACAAAAAGCCACTTTAAATTTTTTTCAGTCCACTACATTGATCTCAAGGTCCTCTTTGCATCATATTTAGCACAGTGCAATAACACTACATTTTAAGGTTAAATCCCACTACATGAAGCATTAATCAGTACAGGTTCCTGAACTTCCCTTATTTTCCAATATAAGGAGAAAATAAGTAAAAGCATTCCCATGGAGATTTTTCCTGATACAGGTGGTGCACAAATTTTGTAACAATCACTAACTGAGTTGAAGCAACGTATTCTCCCAGCCATGGGCATACAGTTGTAATACTGCCAGTATTGTTTTACATACTGTAACGTGACTTATTGGGAGAAGAAAGAAAACAGGAAAAAAAGAAAAAAGCCTGCCTGTCAGTGCAAACATTCCTGTGCTGCATCACCATTTTGTTCTTCACAACCAAGGGGAAACAAGCAGTGAAAAAGGCATGTGTATGGACCACAGATGGAATTCCCTTTCTAGAATAACAGAACACACAAGAAGTGAAAATGAAAGACAAAGCTTCCCTTCATCCTCATCTATCACGTTAAACATAATCAAAATACAGTACACACATTGCTTATACAAGAACACTTTGATAGGAATCATTATAATTATCAAAAGGATGTTGAAGCATCACATCTACGAGAGATGTTGTGTCACAGGACCATCAGTATTAAGATGTGGTCTATAGCAACAGTTTATTACAGTCTTCCAGAATTTGTTGTTAGATGTTTTCCTCCTGGAAACACTCAATTGAATACTTAAAAGAAACTTGACCCTTCATACTATAATCTAGCTTGAAAATTTTGACTACCTACCTAGAGAAACATGAGAAGAAATTATGAACAGAAAATCAGATTTGCAATAAGAAATCTCATTTCAGTGAGCTATTATCAGAAAACAGATTTTGCTCTGCGAGCTTTCAACATGCAACTTGACAGCCTTGTTCTCTGCAACTGCCTTACAGTCAAGTGCTTTCACTGCTTGATGAAACCCACAGGACAGCTGCAGTAAACATCTCTTCCTATGGTAAACAAGTTGCATAGTATCTCTCTATCAAAATGAAGCTATACAAGATCAACTGGAATATTCTGTATCTCATTTCACATTTTAATATAGATAAATACTGTTATTTAGCAGAAGGAAATCTGAAATGAAACATCTTATGTTGCACCGGTTTGATCTAAGTGGTACCTGTTACTACAATGTTTAATCTGTGACAAGCCTCACTTAAGTATGCCAAAAATACGACAGGTTAGTAGAAGAATAATCTTCTAGAAGAAGAAGAGTTCTTTTCCAGTCTTTCTGCAAAGATTTCCCCAACCCTATCTTGTAGAAGTCTAGCTTTTATTGTGTCTATTTCTAGTTTGGCTAAATACTGTATCGTAAGTTACTTTATTTTTTTTCCTCATTGCTTCAGACACTGAAATATTAATTAGCCTCCTTGTGGAAACCACACATTCCAGGACATAGATGCCATGTATGTAAGTCAGCATTGACACCAAAACTTATCCCTGCTTTTCATCTTCCACAGATGCCTGTTTCTTCTTCCATGCTGTCCTTAGTGCTATGTGACCACCACTGTGATGTGCAGCTGTGTGATAGACTAAATGGGACAATGGGTTCCAGCTGAAAAATAGCTCAGGGAAGAAACTTATTTTTCAGCCAAGTTAGTTTCCTTATCCCAATAACTGCATAGCTACACAAACTCCTGTCCTAGGCAGTACAGAAATAGAAATAATGGCAGATGAAGAAAAAATTGGAAGGCAACTAAGGAAGGCACAGGATATAAAAATCAGTTCTGGGTAGTTTTTCAATTGGGCTCTATCTCAAATAGCACTGTCTGGTTTAATAAAAGGTCCATTCGTACTTTCATAACCACTCTGGAAAGACAGAAGGAGAGGAGAAATAGAATGGGGTGAACAAAACACAAGTCCTGCAATAGTCAATCCATTCTTGCTCTTTTTGAGCTATGTCAGCTGGAGCAGAAGACCGAAGATCTGTATCTCTCACACAGCACTCACGACAAAAAGCAGGAAGTCAAGGAAAAGAGTTAGGTGCTTGTTCTAAACGACTGTTGACATGAGACAAAGGCAAGTTGCGTGAGATGCAAACCAGCCTAAGGGAATTGTGACAATATGGCTTGAGAAAGCATTTTTAAACAAAACTGAATAGTTGTAACAGTGAAATAAAATAAGCTGTTACAACTAAGCTCAGAACTCTAACTACAGTTCTCAAGTTCTAGTATTTGTGAAGTAAAAAAATAATTGCCTTACTTACTTCATCTAAAAGAGGATGAATTTCTGCTAAGGGATTATAAGGTATAAATATGAGAAGTGCTGGTCCTTTCTTCAGCTCATTGTTTAGAAGAAGGCTTTTTCCACCATGTGGTCTCAGCCAGCGTATGAGCATCTCTCGATTTTCTAGAGCCCACTTGCAAATGTTCTCAGCAGTATAGTTCATGATGTCATTTGGATAGATCTTGAAGGGGGAAAAAAAGTATTATTTGGTCTTACTTAGTTTAGTAATGAGTGCAGTTCTCAAATACAGCATGCTTTGTTACTGTAATGCCTAAAACTCTCTTTCTAAATTAATGACACTATTCAGTGAGCTTCAGTGTTTCATATACCCTTTCCCTTCGGGAAATCTTTCCAAATGCTCATCAGATCATAGTAATACACATGATCTTTCAGGCAAAAAGTATTCTACCAGGAAAGCTCCTCTTTCTTTTATGACATCTTTATAAACTTTTCTCACTACTATAAATTTTCTTTGTAAGTGAAAGGGCTCAGTCTTTAAGTTGGTATCATCACATATCTTGATATACAGCATATTAGAAAACTTTTTCCCACTACCCATTCACCATATTAATGCATTTTAAATTAGTCTTTTAGGATTCCAACATGAAGGTTGTTTGGATTTTGTTTTGATAGAGACGATCAACTTGGGTCTTAGCTACTGTTTAGAACAGCTGCTGACTGGTAGAATGAAAACGTGTATTACTGTACAAAGCTCTGTGAAACACTGACTCATCGTCTACTACGACAGAGCTCCAATCTCCACGCACTGTCTCAGAGTCACTACAACATAAATACAATACTCACAAGAGATGTGTTGACATGTCTGTGCAAATACACGCTGCCTGAATGCACCAAGGAGATCTCCTCTGCAACATGTTTATCTGTGATCACTCCAAAGCGTATTGTTCCAAGGTAATCTGAAAGGGTAAATTTTCAGTTTTTAAATACAATTATACACACTGAACTTCTCTCCTGAAAGATTTAGAACACCTTCAAACCAAAACACAGAACATCGCTTTATAAAGGCACAGAAGTCTTACTGAATAGCAACTGCCAATATTGGTGATTAAGTGAGGTAGAAGAAATATGGCAAGAGCAGGCAACAAGAACAAACATGCTCCTTTTCTGCACTCAAGGTATAGAGAATATTAAACTGAATTGTCCAGATTCTTGATTTGCTTATTATAGAACCTAGTATCACCTTGCTACGTGTTATGGCATCTCAAAAGCCAACATGAGATAGACATATAAGGAAAATGTATGAATGATGATTGTTTAGATTATGTACATTTACAGTCAATATATAGTTTAAATATATGTTATAGTATATTTATAAATATGTACATACAAGGACAGAATGCTTCTCACCTTTACATTGCAAAGAATTATCCCAACAAATAAATCGGGAAATTACAGAACAAAATATAGGAGAACAGGCTCTGTATCACATACCGAGTCAGTGGCACAGTAAAAAATTAAAATAATGGTATCAATTTCCTTAAATTATTGATGGGAAGAAATATCCATATGTGCTAATCTTAACTTTAAGAAAGTTCTACCCAGAATTCATGACACACACCCCCCACACCCCCCAAAGGTATTCATAATATACAAAATTTGCATATTTAAACACAAGAGGTTTTGTATTTTAGATTATTAATGCAAAACAGCAGGGGCAGGAAGCCCTTCTCATGATGCTACCTTGTACCAGCTCTGTAACTTCATACAGTAAAGCATTTTGTTGAATTCAGTTACTAAGTATCAACAAAGTCAAGTTCATCCCAATCCCTCTGAACCTGACATTTCAGATGTTGCACAAGACAAACATTCTTGGATTCAATTTAAGTAAATGCTAATCTGATTATGGCTCTATATGGGTTGCAACTACACATTTATATTTTTGAGGGAACTGTATCTTAATATATCCTTGAACAGCAGCCTGCCTTATACATTATTCCATGATAGCCGATCACATAACAAGCCCTTTATGTAAGCAATCCTTGTGCTGTAATAAAAGATCTCAGTCTCATAATTAGATCAACATCAAACAACACTCAAAAGGGATTCATTCTCAAGTTACAAAATACTGCAAAAAACTACTGAAGCCCATACACACAATTTATTCACAGATGCCTTAAATTACGAAAATTAAGCTTTTACCTTTCTTTAATGAATGCAATGCTGATGTGAAGAATGTTAAATAACCAGGTGGTTGAGGTGAAGCATTGAACTCAAAATATCCTAGAACTCCAGGCTGAAATAGTAAGAAATAGTAACTTAAGCTATTTTCAAGTTTAAATATGAGGCACAGCAATTATTTGCCTAGAGTAAAACACAACAGATTTTAAATAGACAATGTTTACTGAAGAACAGTCACTTTATGCTGCAAGAAAAATTTTAATATTCAAATACTGAAGGGAAATCAGCTCTAAAGTTGTCATTCAAAAGCTATGTATGAGAGAGGGGTTTTATGGCTGTAGATGCGTAAGTTTCAAACTGCTTATTTCCCATGTTAGCTATTAAAGTTCACTAAAAACAATTAATATTTGCTTTGCAACTATTTTATAAGTCAGTTCCATCACCAACATAAGAACCATAATCATCATAAAGGCTTCTTTTAGAAGTGGAATAACAAATGTGATTTTTCAAAGTATAAACAACTTAAACAGTAACACTTTAATTGCTCACTATGTTGCACATAATTGGCAACTACATACAAATTCACACATTTTGTGTTTGAATACTTGAACTGGTAAGCCAACTTCTCATCCCATTATTCAACTATTAGTCATTGTAAATTCTTTCAGTATATCCTGCAGGAGTCAGTGAAAGACCAGCTGCACAAAAATAATGAAAGTGCCCTATATCCCACCTGCATATCCGTGAAGTCCTTCAAACTGCCAAACAGACAACTCACAATTTAAAGACTTAACCCTAAATAGGCCTGTTGACTTTAACAGGTATGAAGCCTAAGTGGCTTCATATTAAATTCAGGAAGAGAATCCGGGAGAAGCTGACTTGGAAGAGAGAGGTTCTTAGTTTTTAAACTTCTCTTGTTCCAAAATCTCAATTAAGTTTTGGTTTTCAATTTTGCAAAATATATTCAACTGAAAATTATTATTAATTATGGTTTTCAACACATCACTCAAATTGGCTTAGTAAACTTTCAGGACAAAGTATGTGATGGAGTTTGGTTATTTTGTGTTACTTGTTTCCCAGGTCCACCAGTGCATACAGAAAGAGCACTAGATAAACAGAGCAAGAGCACTCCATGGATTGCTGTGGAATATAACATTCCAGACTCACCAATCAACCATTTGTGTGGTGAATATATTCCCACATAACTATTTTCATTTAATATTTCAGAAGCTGTTTGGTTTATTTTTTTTTGAGCTTTACATGTAACATTTTTCATTTTTTAAAAACATTAACATATATTTTACCTGTTACTGTCATTAGTGATGTGAATTCAGTTATTAATACCAGCCATATGAGTTGAGCTAATTCAGTATGAATTAGTAATCTCAGGATGTTCACCAATAACAACATTGCCCATTCCAACTAATGACCTGCTCTTTTTAAGCAGGAATTACCTTTCATGAATGCATGTTAAACACAAGGCCCTTGTTCATAAAGATTTCTTATGAGGTACCCCAAGAAAATTATCAATAATAAAAATGAGATGCAAGCAATTAGTGAAATTTTCAAGAAGGAAATAAAAATATAAATAAAATATAAGTGAAAAACATTAGCAAAATAAGAAAACTCATTCCTTTTTAAACAATAAACAGGTTAGCAATTAGTGTTCATCTTTTTCTCCTAGTACCAGAATGAAGACGTTCACCTGCTAATACCAACTACTCTGTTCATTTTAACAAAACTGAACACTTCCAGGTGCTAGCAACAAGGAATCTTGCTCTGTACAGGTGAGATTCAAGTCTTACAGAAGAGATATCTTGATGTAAATAAAAGGCTCCAAGTTTTGAATACAAGTATGCTAAGATGAGCTTGACTGCAGCAACTCCCACTTCCTTTCATGTAAGAACCTCCCAAAACTAGTGTAGCAACAGCTACCTCCATACAGTTTACATGGACATCTACATACAGGCTGCTACTGATGATCAACTGCTTCCTGGCAACCACCTGTGTGGAGTTATGGTTAACTATCTTCATGCAGGCAGTTAGGAATAATCAGTTGAATAGCATATGACTTGCTGCTATAGAAAGCTGGAGGATAAAATACTGGAATGTGACACATAATTTAAAGACAATACATTAGGAGCATTGGTGTTGCTAGTGCGGAGCTTTTCTTTCCATGAAAATTTTCAGCACCTGTCTCAAAATGAGCGCCTGTAGAAAAGGTTTTCGAACAAACCTGAAGAAGTCAGTAGTGAACTGCCATTAGTACCATCTCCTAAAGAAACTCTAATATGGAAATACAAAATCAATACTTGGTAGTGTAGCCTACTTCTTTCTCGGACTCCACATGAATGGAAAGTGATGTGTGATGCCAATTAAATCAAACAAATAACAGATTTGACAAGAATCTCAACAATTACAGAACAGCAAGTTCATAGAAACTTTACGAATTAACAGAGATCTTCAGGTGAGTGATTTTTATTGGAGAACAGGCAGCATGGTTTTATTAGTGAACCATCCCTCAAGTCTATCACAGTTCTTTGAAGGAATGAGCAAGCATGCAGATGACTGATCTACTCAACGCAGCACACTGTAATCCCCAGAAATCTACATTGGAAGAAACTAAGGTGATAAGGAATAACAAGCGAAGATCCTTTTCTAGATTAGTAGAAAAGATAGAAAACTAGAGATAGAAGTTACTGTTTTTCCACAGTCAAAGACAGCCATCCAGGATGTGGACTGATGCTCATGCAGTTCAATATTTCTAGAAACACTTCAGAAAAGGAAGAGAAGGGTGAGGAACAAAATTTTCAAAGGTTATTAGGAATCATCGAAACTACAGCTGACTCAGAAGAGTTGCAGAAAGTAAGTATTAAATCACTATGTGATGAAAGAGCTCTGAAATTTAAAGGCAAATAAATGTGAAGGAATGGGAACAGAGCACAGAAAAAAACCCCACAGCTACTGATTAACTTTTACAATTAGATAATTGCTTTTACTACTCAAGTATTTCTATCCCAAATTGTATTTATTTCTTTTTATGTTTTGGCTATATTGCTTTGAGGTAAGAAAGATGATTTTTTTTTTTCCATAATCTCAGACTTGTGCAGGCAGGCAATTCCTGCCTCGTTTTATCTGTGAACACGGGAAAGAAAACAGCAAGAGGAAAGGAATGTGTTATCTCTGGGGAACAGAACCACCAATATTTCATACCACTAGTACTATACTGTAGAAATGCAAAGAAACTGTTGATTGATATAAGATTAATTAAATCTACAAGTAAATGTCTGTTCATTTTCTAATGATGTTAAAAACATTGTGTATCCAGAACTGAAAGCAAATTCTCACATCATCATTTAACACAGGCACCACATACAAGAACTAGCTATTAAGTCAAATCCACTTCTGGGTCAGACCCTACACAGATGGTTAATGCTCAGGAAGCATTTCTACACAAACAGAGCAAAGAAGAAAGCTGACACCATGTTAAGACACTTGACAGATACATCCCAGAGAGACTAACTCCTTCCCCACCTCTCCCAAAGCCAGGAAATTATGAGGTTCCCGGGCACATATGACTTCATAAGTGGATGAAGTTTTTTGTCTAACTACAGAAGCTACATGTTTTCTTCTTCCATGCCTCAAAAGGATGAGGCCATTTCTAGTAGCTAGGTTAGTCAGATGAGGAACGAGACATCAGAGTTTGGATTAAAATGGAACTGTTACACCTCTGCAGTTAAGAAAATAAATGAAGTCTGATTATAGGTACTTACAGGTACATGGAGTTATGGTAGGAACTGCATATATTTCTTCTGATGTAACTTAGATCTTCCTATACATCCCGTGATTTTAACTGCTTTCCAAATGGGACTTTTTTTTCCTTGCTCTCAAAAACTAAATAGTTTTGTACTAATATCATTCCACAACCACAAAAACCCCCTTAAATAGTATCAGAAAATGCAGAATCTTAACTTTGGAGTCAACTGAAATTTTTTTTATGGGGTTTGAGCGCCCTCTTGTGAGATCAATATAGCATCTTACAATATTCATGATTTGGTTGAAGAATGGACTAAACACTGTACCACCAATTGCTCCTACATTTATCTGGATTCTATTCATTGGTATTTCTTAGAAATAAAAACATGCTAATTAACATATGAATACAAAATTAAATAATATTAGATTTCAGTATCTCTTGGTGTGGTTCAACTTAAAAAAAAAAATGCCTTGAATGTTTGTCTTGGTACCTTTACAGCATTTTAGTTCAGGCATGCTAACATGTCTAATGGATTTTGATATTCAGTTGAGTGTGGGTAGAGCTCCTGGTTTTCTTTGCTAGATGCTTTTTCTGCCAAAAGCTGGCTATCAGAATTTGAACACAAGATTAAAGCACCAAAAGCTTCAAAGATTAGATGGAAAAGGACAACTGGGTCTTGAATTCCTGGCTATCTGTAAATTGACAGGCAAAAACAAAATGCCCTTGAAACAATAAAATAAGTATGCAGTAGCTCTTTTAAGCATGAAGACACATGCTGAGCAAACTTTAGCTCAACATTATGCCCTGCATACGAACCACTCATCTACTATAACTTACTAACCTACTGCATACTCCAAATTATACATAGTGCTATCCCTGGACAGTGAAACAAAACAATGAAGACCGAAAATGAGTGACAGGCAACTGCACTGTGACCTACTGCTTCCTTAATATGGCAGACCTTAATACCACAGTAGAATGAAACAGCCAAGGAACAGAACAGGAACTGCCTACGTGCAGTCTGGGGATCAACTACAAAGAGGCTCTTTTCAACTGAATTTTTCAAATCAAAAGTAAATACCCCTAATATAAGGTTGCAGAACCCATTCCCTAGCAGAACACAGGACTGAAAATTAGATACTGATGATGACAAATCTTTCAGAAAAAATTCTGAGCTTCAAATTAATTATTGTTTCAATGAAGATATCACAAAAACCTGATTGAGCACCAGACATTAGTCAAAATGCCCAATGATCCATCCTTTTTAGTCTTTTCTCCTTTCCTTTCTACCAAAAATTAACATTTTTAATATATAAAAGATAAAAAAAAAAAAAAAAAAGCAAAGGAAGACACTAGCCAAGGCTCCCAAAATAGAGATTAGTTCGTGCCATACATGCACTTCCTGTAACCTACTCCTCAAACTTTCTACCTTCTTAAACACAGGAGTCACCTCCTGGATTGTATCTTCTCCTACAAAATGTATGAAGTTCCTCAATTTGCATGGAAAACATTAGAAAATGTTCACATTTCTCACTGTTTAAAATTATGAAACAATGTGTTTATTTCTGGTTTAAAACTAACTTTTCCTTTATGCCCAACTATGTTTCCCTTTCCATCCATATTCATACACAATTCTCTATTTCTTAGGTCTTCTCTGTATCCCAGCTCCTTATCACTCAGCATTTGGTTTTCTTATTGCAGTCACCTGGACTTGCACTAACTAATGCCCTGTTCCCTGCATGGACCTTACTGAATCAGCTGGCTGTTATTTTTGTATTCCCTTCTCCTCCCCTTGTTGATTTTACAGAGGCAAGACACTGAGCGCCTAGTGCCACAGTCTGGGAAATAACTTCAGCTTTAAATGACTGCAGGGCAGCATGACAGATCAGATGCTATTCTTGGTCCACTTCAGAAAAAAGAACCAACAAATACTAAACATAAATGGATATTGGGCATTTGGAGCCACAGATTCTGAAGCACAGGAAGGGGGGAAGTTTGAACATAGAAATAAAAATATCTGTTCAATTGCTAAGCAATATTTTAAAAATTTCTGGTTCCCCCATACATTTGTCTTTTATCTCAGCCTTTGTCCAATGGAAGTGCACCTCCTACTGTAAAGCAAAGTTAACCTTAATGACATGATGCTTACTAGTTACCTTTTGCAGACTAACAAGAAATAATTCACATAACACACACCAAAACCCAAGCATGCCTGTTTTCAAATCTCTGTAAGAGGCAAAAAAAAATAAGTTTTAGAATAGCAAAACTGAAGCAGTGAAAAGACAATTGCTTGTGATTACAGAAAGTATCAGCATCATAGACAGATACAGAACTCACTACTCCTGACTCCCATTCCCTACTTAATACACTGGAAAAATAAATCCCTGGATAGCTCCTGAGGGATAAACGCAAGTGTGAACAGCAGAGCACCTACCCATGGTAACTACCAGCATGCATCCCCTTATGCTGTGGCAGCTTTCATTTAACAGTATAGGTCCTGCTCCATCCTGCAGCAGAACCAGTCATTAGAACATGCACTAATTCAAAGAGGAACTCTGCCTCGCTGTGAAAGACTGGAAAGCCCTTGTGTGTTTTGGCCACTGCTACATCATCAATTTGTTGATCAGGTTTTCTATTCTGCTCTAATAGCTTGGGGTTTAGTAAGATTATGGTATTTCTCCATTGGACGCTACAGAAATTAAAAGTTATAAAGGGATTATAAATGGTCCTGTTGTAAGCACATTTTGTCTAATTGGAAGTTGTTAATCCACTAGTACTGCTACCAATCTTGGCATATCTGAACAAAATAGACCAAAAATTAATAAAACACAATGTACCAGTGGATTAAAATAATGAAGTTATACCATACAAAGTGGTTAGGAGCCATTATTTCAACTGATTTCACATTTGTTTTTAGCTAGCAGACTTATATTATTAGAAAGGTTTAATATTCCTTTTAAAATTAAGCAATGATTATGTATTTCTCAAATGCTTTCCCAACTTAGACTGCAGGATTTTTGCAAAAAGATTTCTCCCTTCTTTCTTGTTCATATGTAACATTTTGGTGAGGTAACAACTTTGATTGTTGTCTCTACTTAATAAAGTACTGTAAATTAAGAGCATCACTAAATCATAAGAGTCACTATACAGGGAACCAACATTATGAATTTCTCATTTAATATTTCTACAATTTTAACAAATTTACAGGGCACTGATTTCAGGATCCTGGAAATAAACTAGTACTTTGGAGCAGATCAAATTTAATCGTGAAACAAGTCAAACTCTTTCTGAACCACAGTGGTAAAGCTAGAGAAGAGAGACAAGTACCTCATAATTTGAGAGGAAATCTAGTAATTTTGATCGAGACGAGATGTAGAGTAGTGGTGTCATCACCCGGCGAACAAACTTTTCAATATAAACAGCACTCATAGGGCCTTTGTATTCAATTGGTCCAAAACTAGTACCAAAAAAAATAATAAAACATTAAGACTTAAATTAACAATAGAGAGTCCCTTGTGGGGGTGGCAGAGATAGGAGTTACACAGACAGCATGCTCAGCCTCTAGGGAATTGCTCTCTGTGTTAATTAACAGTGGCTTCTGTAACTGATAGAGGAGTTACCAGACTTAAGTACAGAGCAGAAACTGCAGTGACTCTAATGCAGTGTCTATGAGTAGGTGCAGTGTGTTGGTGGGGACAAATGTATGGAGACCACCTTGGAGTCCCATTGAAGAAGCTGATAAAATGCAGGTATGAATTATATGATCATATACGTATCTTTCTGCTTTGTCCAAAGTAAATACATGTGACTTACAAATACAGATGTGAAAACTGTCACTACTTTCACTTGATTTTTAAAAATTTTTAGGAAGTTCAAAAAGTATCAATCTGAAACACTGCACTATTTTTACATAGGCTTTTACAAGTAGCACTCAATAAAGCAGGGATGAATCCAGTCGCACTGCTGAACAGACTTAGCTAGTCCACAGTTTCTCCCCCAGTCATAACAGCTCACACCACATTAGGTAGTGCTAAAACATAAGGTGGGCTGGGCCTTGTGGCTATGATTTCCAGAGCTCCTCCTTCAGCCCCTTGAAATCCTGCATCTGGTTTACTATTATTAGGTTGGACAAAGCATCACAGTCCAAAATGAAATCAAACACAAAAAGCATGAGGAATTAGTTTGTTCCCACTGAAGAATTTAATGTGATGCATTTTTAAATACAGTTTATACATACAGACACTCTGAAAAAGATAAAAGTTGCACTGAGATACTGATATTCAGATGCTTTGAAATGGTTTCCCAGAGTCCACCAGATTATTCTACATCCTACACTGGTTTATTACAAACCTTTGTCTTAACAGCACTGTTTCAGCATGTCACATGCCCAGTACACAACATTCAAGGTTTAATATCTCAGGCATGAGGGATGCATTGCCATCTGGGGTTTTTATGAAGTATCAATATGAATGTACATCTCACCTTGTTGCAACTCTGTTTAGAGTTACTGACAATACCCAAGTGTATCCATCTATTGTGTTGTAATTTCAAGATCAAGTAAATTTAAGTCAATATACATCCAAGTGGGATTGCTGGGGTTTTTTATTACAGTTTGAATTATGTCAGTGCCATCTGTGTCTATTCCAAGTTCAGCTGACAAAGATCAGGACTGTTGCTTCTCAATACATAAATCCTCCCCCAAACCATAATCAGCCTCTGTGATGGAAGAGAGCTGCAGTTCAAGACTAGAGTAGACAAGTAAAATGCGAGTGATAAACTACACACTACAAATACAACATCCAGTTCTATTGTACCTAGCTTTAGCTTTAGAAAGTTTCCTTACCTTCTGCTCCATGCAAAGAAAAAAACAAATACTGCAAAAATGAAAGTGAGATTATATAAAATTTTATACAATTATATCTCAACATTTGGAGCATAAAAAAAGTGTAAAGTTCCAATTTAGAAGACAGTTCAGTACACAGTGCCATTTAAATATGTACTTAAATTCCACTAACTTCAATAGCCCTTAAATACATATTTTATCGCCATCACAAATTTGGACCAGTTGATATAATCCATCTACAGAGCAAGCAGACAACTGAAATTAATACATAAATCTGAATTCTTTAATTTTTATTGGAGGCAGAATTTCTAAGAGATGCACAGACATAAGGAAATTTCCTTCAGGACGAAGAATTGCACAGTATGTCATTCAACTGACATTTACAGCCCTTCTTGACATCTATGTAGCATACAGCATGAGCTTCACCCAGAATCTCCTCCTCTACAACTATTTGCTGTAACCATAAATATAACATTTTCAAAATGCAACATTTTATATAGTATCTCTGTTTCCCAAAACAACAATAAAAAAACGTAGATTGCACATATGAATTCTTACCTCCGATGGTATAAGTGTATCACAGGAAAATAAAAGAAATGCTTCTGCTTCCTGCACTTCCCCTGGTTCCACCAGCAATTTACAGCCACAAACAGCACCTGCAAAGCAGGAAAAAACTTACAGCTAACAAAGTACATTACTGTGACCTTCTTTATCTAACATGTATTTTTTCCAATCCATTCCATGTGCTATTTTCACTGCCTTTTCAACTCAGTATTCTATATCTGCTCCTCTAAATTTTATCTCACTTTTTTTTTTTGGACATTTTGCAACAGCAATCCTTTTGGTCACTTTTCCTTCTAGTTTTTAAGCATCTTAATCTAAGTCCTTCAAATTTACTAACTTAGTCATAATCCATAATAATTACTTCTTCTGCAGAGTGGAGCTCAACGAGCAGAGGTTTAAGACAGCTATACCTATGAAATGTTCACAGGTAACCAACTGCAAGAAAGCAGTGCTATGGCTGCAATCTTGTATGATTACTAGTGTCTCCAAGGATCATGGAACTGGAAGCAAACTCTCTGCAATTTCTGTCTGACGACAGGTGAATAAATTTGAGAACACTTTACAAGAAGAAACTTGTAAGGTTCTCTATTCAGGAGCAGAAATAACAGACAGCTAGGTAGGAATTACAGGTTTTCTCCATTTATTCTAACACTCCGTATATTAAATTAAAATTAAGATGACTGGCTGAGTTACCCTAAAATGTGAGTGTTCAAGTCCTACTGGTTCCCACGAGATGACAGAAATTAGCATTGGTTTGGAGACTCAAACTCTATCAGATCATGTTTAAGATCCATATCTCCTCTGGAGTTACCTGGTCTGACAATCTGCTAGCCACATGTTCTATTTCTTCTCTTGCTGCAATGGACTGGCCACACCATGGTGCATAGAAGAAATACAGCACAATTTCTGAATCCTGACGAAGATGATCTGCATAGTCTAACTGTCCCCGAAAAAGATCAATGACTGGAGATCTTGTGGAGAAAAAATTCACCGGGAGCTTCGCTGGCATTGTTACATCTTTTGCTCGGCTGCAGGAAGGAAACTAAGAGTGGTTATTGAGACTGTACAGCAGTAGTTAAAGGTGTGCCCAGAGCCCTAATTTTTAATCTTAGCAAAAGTCATGCAATGACAAAACTTTAGAAATTGATGTGACTATAACTTACACTATCTGAGTTAGTTTCATTAAACACCATCAAAATCTAAAGATCACCCTTAACAAGCTTTAGAAAGTCACACTGTGATACCATGCACTACGTTGATGGGTATGTTAGCTCACACTCTTATTGCTGGTTGCTACAGAGCATAAAATTACCAGGAAGAGTGATTTCTTTGGATTTCTTCCCTGGCCTCATCCTCTTTTAACACCTGTACTTTAGGTAACAGCACCCTGATAAGAGAAGAGATACTGGTCATAAAGCTTTGTGATGTGATGTTTATATCAACAGAGACTATTACCCTACCTTACACTTTGCTTTAGAGTATTCTAGTCTTCCATTCTTTTACATTGCATTAGGAAAAAATATGTAGATGTGTATTAGTTTATTGATTAGAGCAGGGACTGAAAATTGTTCAGGGCGCATTTCCTCTTCAATGTAAGGACAGTATCAACAATTTAAACGACTTAAAGAGATTATGACAGATTAAGTTTCTTAAGAGAAATTAGTTTGACCAGTTATACCAAGAATGTAAAGCAAATACTCAGGAAGCCATTTTCTATCAAATCAGCAAACAATCCTTGGTACTTTCAAGGTGGTCAGAAGTTGTTATTGTATAAACTGCCTTAAATACAAATGAATGATCATATTCTCCTTTTTATAGTCTCTTCATTTCAAAATTTTCAACTAGCTATATTTATACTAAAGCAAGTCAGATTAAAAACTGGACTGCACTACTGTAATGCTTGATTTTGTCATGGCTCCTTATGCGACAGGAAGTTTTAGGAAAGACTGTGCATTCCTTTACCTTGTATCTCAATAAAAAGCTAATACAAAAGTCTTTTTACCTGGTATTAGATCCTTCTCAGGTTACAATTTTAGTAACTGTGATAAAATTATTAAGTCCTGAATACTATCAAAGTCCTATGTTAAGCAACCTCCTAACAAAGCTGCCACATTTTCAAACTTTACAATCATTCTGGGTTGTAAGTACCACCTTTGTTTTTACAGTACAGACCCACAAAAGCCACAGCTCTTCTCTCATTTCCACATTACTAAGCATACACTTAAAGCTCAACATTGAAGAATTACTCCCAGTATATTTTCTAAAAGTTATGGAAATTCTTAAATCATATATAAGAGACAAAATTTGCTTCAAAATCCAGAATTTTAAGACTGTTAGCCAGTTCCTCATGTTTAGAATTAATTAAACTAGATTTTGGCCAACATAATTTTGTGAGTAGTGGAATTATTCTATGGACTTCTACCTTTGTTCCCTCCCTTCTCCCCCAATCAGTAACCCAGCACCTACTTCCCCAAGCCTTCAGGTTCTTACATCACCTCACAACCAACATCTCTCATTCCCTCCCAGTCCTGCACCCCGTACTTATCCAAACTGCTAGCTTCTTCCCACAATTTCTAACTGCCAGCTGGACAGAACACACCACTGCTGCGCTACAGCTCTGCCTCACAGGTCAGCACACACATGCTGATTAGCTGATGAAAGCAAAACACGCAGCTAAGCGATGATCTTACACTAACACATACTTCTTCAGAGATGTTGACTAGAATTTCTCTTCTTTAACTAGTTTAATGAAAATGGACAACACAGGTATGTTCAAGAACTCTGCTTTCTCTACTGAATTAAACTGAAAGTAGACAATTGGCTCGAGTTACAGCATAACTCTTCAAAATGAGATAGGAAATTGGCTCCAAATTGCAAGAATTTGTAAAACTGATCAGCAGAAGTCCCATGACATGAATGAGTCAGGAACTACATGGCTTCCTTCAAATATGAAAAAAACTCCAGTAATTATTAAAAAACAAAACACAATGCATCAATAGCTACCAGCTTCTTAAGCGGATTTGCTCAGTAGTGTCTTCCTCTGCAATACCAAATGCATGACAGAGTACTTCTACATAATTCCCAGGTTTACAAAGAGAATAGTGCTCTGAACCCCTAAAATTTATACAAGTATAAATGGATGATTACATAATAAACAACTATACCAACATAATATGCATATACTGTTTATTAAAACATTGATTGTGTTATTTACCTGCTGCACGGAGCCTATAAAAACTTAAACTCATTTCAACAGAACAACTGGGTAATAAATTTTTATGCAAGTGCCTGTAAGATCAGCCCCTTTGACTACAAGGTCCTTAGAGTGGGGTTGTCTCCAAAGACATTTGCGTAGTGCCAGAAATGATTCAGGTTCTAAACCACAGGTTTTCCATAGTAATACATGTTAGGTGAGGCTTCATTTGGCTACACCTTGAGCCACTATAAACCTGCAATATCTCAAACAGCACTAACAGATAGTTTTATATTAAAGGAATTTTCGTTTTCCATACTTTTTATCCACTGATCTCAAAAGTTACGTGTTGCAAGCGTAGTGGTAGCAACTGTACTCTAGTGCTGAGAGATGCTTTCAAACCGTACTGATATGTGGTGAGAAACTATGTACTGTAGTTGTAATTAACATGTGCAATTAGCATCCTCCAAATTGCACCTGGAATTTGTACACTTGAATTTTCTATGTTTCAATAGAACAGGGAATACTCTTCTGATATTAGTTTGTCTATTTAACTACAATCTGGAAAGCCAAACCCCTTTAATCAAACTTCCTATACAGAGTACAGGGTGGCGAGAAGCACATTCCATTTGTGAGCTTTCAAACACAGCTAGTAGTAAAATTAAAGGCACATGATGGTTTTAAATAAAGTAGAGCAGGAAGAAAACAGAAGCATCATTGTGTGAAAAAAATAATTAATTTTTAGTAATAGGCAGTAAAACGAGGAGGTTAGGTTCTGAAATCCTTCACCATACATTCCGTAAAATGGCAGGAGCCTTAATTATCTGGTCACTGTGAGATACAAACAACTGGAACAGAGGCACTGCTGCTCACGTGGCAACTCATTCATAGGCTTAAAATTAATTCTGATTCAATTAATACATCCTCTGTGGACAGGTGAGAAAAGAAGGCCTTATATTTTTCAGAATCTTTACCTATGAATCAAGTGTTTCTTGAAATAAAAACATCAGATTCTGCAGAACAGGGAAGTAATCAGATCTTTGCAACCTTCTCCCAACCCCAAAATTAAGCCCCAAACACAGTAGATATTCTTAAACTAATATAGTATGACTTGAAGCATGTAACAGTCACCTTGACTTAAAATCCATCCAGATCATTCAGATCCCAGTTTAGGCTCCAGACATGAGCTGCCCAGCTGCAGCACATTTATGTGCCTACGGTGCATCACCCAACTCTCCCCATGCTTCCAGCCACAAACACCCTCTGGTTCCACGTACACACGCATACCAGGCTCTCAGCAAACAAGAACCAAAGACACTTTTGCAATGAAGGAAGTTCCAGCTCCCATGAGGAGCAGCACTGGACTGGGGGGAAAAAAACCTGCCAAGCACCTTTGTCTGAAGCAGGTGCAGGTAATGGGAGTGTCGACACTAAGGCACAAGACAGAAGAGACCTGTGCCCCCCCCACTCTGTCCCCCCGTGCCGCTGCAGCCGGTTGAGCTCGCTGAGGAAAGTATTTCGGCCCGGTGCCGCCTCAGTCCTTCTGTAGCAACGCGAGGTGCGAGTTATTCTCTGGAGCTGAGGAAATACAGCTTTCTCAGCAAAGCGCCCGGCCCTCTGGTTCGCGTGCATCCGCGTACCTTCCGCCACACCCCCACGTCCCCCAATGAAGGCGTATGTGTCTTAAAAACACCCTCGCATCTTCCCCACGCGTGTCTTAACGCAGGGAGCACTAACTGCCCCCCTGCTCCGCCAGCCCCCGCCCGGCGCGGGTCACCGGGCCCCGCGTCCCCCACACCTCCGAGATGGCGGCGGCGCTCCCCCACGACACAAGCACGGCCGCCGTTGCCAAGGCGATGGCGTGTCGGCGGGCGCGGAGGGGGACGCCTGGCCCCGACCCCAGCAGCGGCCGCTCCCGACGGGACCCGGCCCCGCGCGGCGCCTCACGGAGCCCGACCACAGAGCGCAAGGAGACGCGCGCCCAGAGCGGGCGCAAGGGGTGGCGGCGCGGGAGGACCCCCAGCCCGGCCGGCCCCGGCCGCGGCCGCTCGCAGGCCCCGGGGCGTGACCCCGGCCGGCGGTTCTGCCCCGGGCCTCCGGGGCACGCACCGCCTCCAGGACGAGCGGCGGGTGGCCGCCTCCCTCGGCCGGGCCCCGCAGCGACCCGGGTCCCGCCCGCTCCCCCCCCTCCCCCGCCATTACCTGCAGGTGACTTTGAGGGCGACGAGGAAGGCGCAGCCCAGCACGATGGCAGCGCCGCACAGCAGCTCGGGCCGCCGCGCCATCTGGGCGGCCCGGGGCCGCAGCCGAGGGGCAGCCGCGGGGCCGGAGCTGCTGCATAACGACATCGCCCCCGGCCGCGGCGGGGAAGGGTGCGGACTGCCGGGCCGCTCCCGCTCGCACACGTCTCCCCACCGCCCGCCCGCCCGCCGCGCCGGGGCGGCCCCTCCGCCCGCGAACCCGCCGCCGCCACGTCGCACCGCCCCGAGCAGGCGCACAGGCGGCCGGGCCGGGCCTGGGCCCGGGGGGCAGGGAGAGCCGGAGGAGCCGGCGGGACTGGGAGCGCCGTGAGAGCGGCGGCGGGCGGCCTTCGCTCGCTCCCCCTCCTACCCTCGGCGTCAGGAAAACGCGTTAAGAATGATTTTGCTCGGCTCCTGCTAGGGGTGCAGGATATCGTTAAAATTCCCGTCGCCGGGTTAGTAATTCCTCGGGAACCGCTCCCTTTCTGCGAGGACCGAGCCCCCTCTGGCAGCTCTTCCCCCACACAGCAGTCATTAAAGATCTCACGCCGTCCTTAAAGAACTCCATGTTTAGTTTTGTTTAGAATTACTTCCAATAATTTACAGAGCACTTACATCAAACAGTGACAGCATAAAATTGAGAAAACAATTCAGAAAGGCACACGATACAATCAGGTTTTGTCACAGAAATAACAGTGTCCATAGTACCGTATTTCAAGCTCAGTTTATTACAAACAATGTAAAAAATTAGCATTGCAGCAGGTGGTATTTCAAGCACCAAGCTAATTTCATATGCATACTGTACATCATATTCAAATGTACTTCTGCCTAGCCTGTAAGGAACAGTTACTTTGTAAGTTCCCTGAGCTATGGCTGAAGCATAAGGTGTTTTATTAGTCATTGTGCTTTTATTTTGTGAATTGAAAGGGACACAGCATCCAGGCTTGTCATGTGTATGGATATCACTGAACTTTGGTTCAACACATTTTACATACACAATATATGGCCAATGACTACATTCAAACTACTGAAGTCATTCTTAAAGCTCTTCTAATTATATAAGGTCAGCCAATAACAGAAAAATAGTCTCAAAAAGAGGGAGAAGTAGGTCATGGGGGAAAAAAAAGAAAGCCAGCTTTAGCTATTTTGAATGAATGAATGAATGAAGTAAACTTAGTTAAAAAAAAAAATTAAAAAAAGGAATTAAGTGAACACACAAAGCAAGCTGAAAATACCATCTGCAGAGAAGCCAAAAGGCGACACAAGCTCCAGCAACTGTAAAGCCAAAGGGCTTGTCAGCCAGAAGTCACCTCAGCCCATGAAAGGTTTTCCATTTCCTGTGATCTGCAGGAAATACAATTTGAAGAATCATTGACCGCACAGCTGAGGTGGTGGTTCGTGCCCAAGTCAAAAGGCTGAAAACACATCCCCGCACCATGTAGCTCCAAAATGCTTGTCTACTTTGCA